AAAACCTCATATAATTTTTGTGTCCACCAGACAAAAAAAATGCTAATCTCGAAGTGTTCTGAATTTTTTTTGTTTAAGAAAAGGGGTAGTACCATTACAAATCTCAAATTGATACTCAATAACACATTTATTCTATATTAATTCTCGTCTCAAAAAAAAAAATTTAGAAGCTCCTCCAACACAGTGCAGAGTGAATTTCCAACCAAGTCTTTTGATAACAACATTTGAACAGAACATGAAGAGGAAACGCTTGTCGTTCTCTAATTACAAATGTTTACTTATGAAAAAAGGGAATCGTACACGCAAATTACTCTTTTAGAATGCATTTCTTTCATGAAAAATAAATGATTTGAAAATATTTTTCTAAAAACGATCGCTCGTGTCACTTACAAAAATGAATGAACATAAAATATTTTCATTGTCCATGAAAATATTTAGACATAAATTATTATCGATAATGAAAAAAAATTCATTTACTAATTATTTCAAACAATTCTTTCTTGGAAAATATTTTTCAAATCATTTATTTTCTGCGAAACAAATGGAGCCTTAACCTCACGATATTCGCTTTGCGAATTGACAAACGAAATCATCAAAGGAATAACTTCCCTATTACGAATAATTCCAAAATCAAAACATTAATGATTATATTCAATTGAGCCAAGCATTGAGTTGGTAGCACAAATTAAGAAAGCAATCAAGCAATTTCATCAACCACCATAATAATTATACTTGCTTTTGCACAATATGGAGATGGAGATGTTAAACTGAAAAACCCTAAAAAAAATTGGCAATTCCCTTGTCCATTAACCCAAAATAAGAAAAAGTAGAGAAAATAAAAATAATAAAAATAAAGGGAAAATTACTTTATTTATTTCAGAAATTATGATACCTTCCCCTTTTTTTTTCCTCTCTTTTTTATTATTTTATTATATTTTATTTTAGTTTTTGTCTTTTTGCTTCATACCCAAAAAAAAAAGGCTTAGGAAATGTAGGGAGAGGGAAAAGCTGAAGGATCTGTATTGTGCAAGCAATTTATTCGATTTTCGGTTTCACACTCTTTTTTAAAAATTGCCATTTATATATATATATATATATATATATATATATATTGGAATTATCAGAAATTCAATTTCGCGTTCAGAAAAGTTCTCAAATCACGCGCGCTGCAGGAGCTTCGCTCGCACGCGCCCGATCTCTCGGTTTCTCAGCCGTCCGATATGGTGACTTTTCGCGTGCCCGCAGCGAGTTCCCCACTTCCAGTACTCGAGCGCGCGTGGGAGGATGAGGTTTCTGATTTTTCCTTAGAAAACGGACCATGTTGCGGGAGAATGATGAGCCCATCATAGCTCATAAGTTGGCCTCGCCAAAAGGCGTGCGCGTGGAGATTAGCTGGAAACCACCACGCATATCCAGCTCGAGCGAAAAAGGGAAAAAAAACATTTTATTTGGTTTTTATTATAATGTGAATCTAATTAACAAAAAATATTTTATAGGGTTAATTAATACCTTTGAAAATCTAAAACCGGTACCTCGTGAAATTAATTTCCACGAACTAATTTTTTGTCTCACAAAAGATCTCGAGCAGGTACCTTCCTGATGCATTTCTCTTCAAACCGATTTTTGGTTTCACGAAAAATAAAAATCCGAAACCGGTGCTCCGGATCCAAATCTATGCCCTATTGAACGTGTCAACGCACGTTGGATTCGTGATTTTCCAAGCCAGATCATTCTTGTTGCGTTTTCCACGTGTGTGGACATGTATACATCTTATTGGGATATTGGAGGAATGCTTATGGATGGTAGATTTTGGTCAGATGTAGCGATTTGAGTTTTTCTATCATACGAAAAAATAGGTCGAGGTAAATGTGTCGTGAGTCCATGACGTACTTGTTTATGATTTGAGATAAAAATTAATTTGGAGTAAATACTAAATTGGATTTTTGGTAAAACGAAATTTTTTTAAAAATTCATATGTCATGAAAATAACAATTTGAAATTGTTAATGATATTAACCCTATTTTATAACATTAATTAAGTTACCTGAGTTTTTTTCCTGGAAATGTTTAGAAAAATGAAACCAACATGTTACATCTTCTTATGTGTGAAAGTATCTATCTAATTGTTTATTTTGGTGTTCTGAAAGTTTTCCTTGCGAGCTTATTATTATAAATTGATTTAATGTGCATAAGAACACCAAAGGGTATTTTTTAAATATTATTGCTGTGTTAAGTTCCAAATTGACAATTTACATAAATTTCGGGACGTCCCAGAAATACATAAAGTTAATTTTCTTTTTTCTTTTTTTTATTTGGCAAAGGAATTAGAAAAAGTGAACATGGACGCTTTTTATATACATAAGCAAAAGGACAACTGTCTACGTTGATGGACCGGATTATTTTATTCAGTACCCTTTTTTAATTTTTAATTCTGGGCTTGTCGTCTGTTGAAATATGAATTCCAATTTGACCCTTGTCTTTCTATTTATTTAACATTATATGTTTTAATATTACAGTTGCAAGGACCGATAATAATATAATACATAATAGGGTTAATACTACGAAAAACCCTAAATCGGTACACACGTGACAAATTTACCATAAACTAATTTTTAACCATAAAAAATCCCAAACTGGTACACATATGACAAATTTATCCCAAACTAATTTTTTGACCACCAAAAACTCCAAACTGGTATATTTGTGACAAATTTACCCTCCGTTAAATTGGATCAATGCCATAAAAAATCACAAATTTGTAAACTTAAAACACTAAATCAGTACACTTGTCAACTGCCCTGTATTATCCAACTCTACAATTTGAAAGTAAAATTTAACGGAAAGTAGCAGAGAGTAAATTTATCACAAGTATACCAGTTTAGGGTTTTTCAAGATATTAACCCATAAGATTATTGGAAAAAAAAAGTTGATGAATATCGAATATAAAAAGTCGATTAAAATCCAGTTAAATGATAGGATTGCTCATAACATTGGATACAATATATATAAATGATAATAAATGTATTAATTTAAGAAAGGATTAATATCACAAAAAACTTCAAATTGGTAAACTTGTGACAAATTTACCCTCCGTCAGTTTCTGTTATATTTTCCCGTCAAATTATTGAGTTGGATGACACGTGGCAGTTGGTGGGTATATCGGTTCAGGGTAGATTTACCAATTTATGATTTTTCGTGGTATTAATCCAATTTAACGGAGGGTTAATTTGTTACAAGTGTACTAGCTTTGGATTTTTTTTGGTGAAAAAATTAGTTTGGGGTAAATTTGTCACAAGTGTTAGTTTGGGATTTTCAATGGTCAAAAAATTAGTTTAGGGTAAATTTATCACATGTATACCAGTTTAGAGTTTTTCTTGGTATTCATCATTTAAGCAATGATAAGAGAAATGGGATACATTTAATTTAATAAGTTCCAAATCATTTTCAATTGTATTTTCATCGTGTTTGTTATGTAAGTTTGAGAAAGTGTGTATTTTTCTAGTTGTCCAAAGTTATTATACAGTTATATAAATCTTTGAAATTACAATCAAATGAAAGAATTTATAGAAGTTCATGCAAAATAATACGCTGGTGTAGTCTATTTAGAAATCAACTAACTATAAAAACGGCCACCAAGTTCATTGCCATTAATAAATCGTTTAATGAATCACATTCAATAGTTGCCATCATCATCAATAATTTTGAAAATTAATTGCAAAATTCATGAAATAATTTGATGCCTTGTACTTAATATATTATTTGAAGAGCTCGTAATGGTCCACGTGGCAATAAATTTTGCATTGTATCTTTAGGCTAACTTTACTAGATTTGGAATAAACAAGATGGGTTTCGAAAGGCAGATCCGATATTCAATCCGTTGCGGTAACTCTGAATTATTTTTCGATCTATTAAATTATAATGGATGTAGCACTTTAAGATGTGCAAAGTTACATGAGTAAGTACTTTTTGGAAATGATGCATTCGGTTCGGATTTTGGAATGCTGGTAAGATAAATCCTAAATCCGTCCCGAAACGACAAGATTTTGTCAATGGAATCATAAATCCGTCTCATACCCCGAAATCCTAAATTTATTTAAATTCTATTAAGATCATCAAGATGCGTGAAGAACCGAATTTAAATCAATCCGCTTCCTCCTTAATCTTTTCTAAATTTATATTAGATCTCAAACTTCAAATTGATCATTATTATGGGATCTCGATGATTAAATTCAACTATCGATTTATTTAATCTCTGCACTGTTCGTAAAATGTATTGATTCATCATGTCGTAGGTATCCATTCACATAAAATGAATTTTAGATCTCGTAGTAGCTTTTACGCTAGATAATCTCTTCTCATTTTTGATAGCTCACATTAGGCACAAAAAAAAAATCAATATAGCCATTGATTTCGCGTAGTAAAAAACTCACTGCATTTCTATAAATGGTTGCCTATTAATGGTGTGTTTATTCCGGAAAAAACTTCATAATAAAATGAAAATGATTTCTCATTTTTCAGGAAAATATATTTTTTTAAAAAAATTAAAGATTTCATTTTCCTAATTCTAGTTGTGGATATTTTCTTTGACCGAAAATAATTTTCCGTCGACCCATTATTGATCCATCATTTTCAGCGTACTAAACACGCGAACGTCGATAATTTGGTCGAGTCAAAGTCGTAATTGGTACTAATCACTTTTAGTTAAACTTGATAAGTACACTTGACTTTGACCCTCAGGCCCTTACATTTTTTACAATTACCGTGACGGTGCACGTGTAATCATGCCCAGGGGCAGTTTAGTCATTTGGTAGGCCAACGATGGGGGGCATATATGTCCAGCAAAGTTCCAACTGTCATTTTGGCCCCCCCCCCCCCCCGCCCCCCCTTCTCCCTCTCTCCTCCTCATCCCTGTCTCTCTACCCTGACTGAAGAAACTCACTCCTCAACTTCACTCCTCCCTCTCTCTCACTTCCCCACCGCCAAGCTTTCTCTCTCCTCGCCATGGCACCGCCGCCCACGTTCCTCCTCCCCCTCCTCCTCCTCCTCCTCTCCTCCGCCGCCGCCGCCGCTCCCGCCGCCGCCGCCAACTCCTCTGCCTCCCCGCCACACGCCATTTCCCCCACCGCCTCCCCCTCCCCTGCCCGCAACCACAGCCTCTCCCCCACCACCACTCCGGCCGCCCCCGCCCCCGCCACCGCCACCGCCACCCCCTCCCCCTCCGCCTCCCCCGCCGCCCTCCCCACCCCCTCCTCCTCCTCCTCCGCCCTCGACCCGAAGCAGCTGCAAGCCCTGGAGTCCCTCAACATCCCGCTCCCCAAGGACCCCTGCTCCGCCCAGTCGGCGGCCACCGCCTGCGACGCCGGCAAGCCCTTCCGCCACCTCACCTCGCTCCTCCTCGCCAACTGCTCCCCGGACGACGTCGCCCTCTCCTTCACCGCCCTCAAGTCCCTCTCCACCCTCCGGTCCCTCTCCTTCCTCAACTGCCCCGTCGCCGCCCCCGCCCGCCTCCCCGCCGACCTCGCCGCCTCCCTCCGCTCCTTCTCCTGCGTCCGCAGCCTCCGCCACCTCACCGGCGTCTGGCTCTCCCGCCTCCAGAACCTCACCGAGCTCACCGTCTCCGGCGTCCCCGTCAACGCCTCCGGCCTCTACGTCATCCTCGGCAACGTCAAGAACCTCAGGTCCCTCGCCATCTCTCGCGCCAATGTCACCGGCTATGTACCCAAGCACTGGCACCTCAACACCAGCCGCATCGATCTGTCAGGTAATCAGCTCAAGGGGCGGATACCCACCTCGATTACTTTCCTCGAAAACCTCGAATTGTTGAATCTTTCTTCGAATGCGCTCGCCGGAGAGATACCCGCCGAGATCGGCAACTTGATCTCGCTCAAGAACCTGTCTTTGGGGTCCAATTCGATCTCCGGGAGCGTCCCGGAGTCGATGTCTGCAATCCCAGGCCTTGTCCACGTTGATCTGGGCTCGAATCAGCTGAACGGGACGATTCCCAAGTTCTTCACCGAGATGAAAAGTCTCAAGTACTTGAATCTTGAGAAGAACAACTTCCATGGGATCATGCCTTTCAATGAGTCTTTTATCAACAAACTGGTGGTCTTCAAGATTGGGGACAACAGCAACTTGTGCTATAACCACACTGTCATGTCGTCGAAAGTGAAGCTCGGGATCTCGCCTTGCGACAAGCACGGGCTCCCGCTGTCACCTCCGCCGGCAAAGGCGGACTCGTCTGCAGATGATAGCAGCTCGTCAGACAACAACGACGGTGATGACAGCGATTCTTCTGGCAAGAGTGGTCGCCACCACGGGCCAAATAAGGTGGTTCTCGGTTTCGCGATCGCGCTTTCTTCCATTGTGTTCCTTATTGTGTTCCTGGTTCTCCTATCTAGATGTTGTAAATGATACATATACGAGAACTTGCCGTTGCCAAATTAGGAATTATAGAAGTAGGGAAGAAAGTTGCCAAGTTAGCGATGATTTAATTGTTTGATTCATATACACGAGGGTCTTCATGAAGAGGGTCAATTGCAGAGGGGGGGATAACACAAGATTGGGGAGAGAATTGCAGGGGGTGATATTTCCATTGATTATTTCCTATGTTTGTCTGGGTATTGTGTGTTATATAACTCATAAGGTGGTTGTTTTGCTAGCGAGGGATACTAGTATATATGCCCTGTGAAAATGTTATCGCCAGTTGAGCTTGAAAGTTGAAAGATTCATTCACTTTAAATCTTTTTGCTTATGCTCAGTTGTCAGTCCTCTGTACATTAGGTAAGCGTGATTCAGTTTGATCTATTTCCATCTACGTTGATGCATGCATGAGGAGAGTGCCATAGTTTTCGAGCTTTTCCCCGGAAATTTCGAGAGCCCGATTTTTATCTTTCTCAGAAAAGATGATGAAGGAGAGGTCCAAATATGATTTCTGTCTTTAGGAGACAGTGACAGGACACAACCTATTCAAGATGGAGGAAAAAGTAGCTAGTTTCCATTTATAAGCATTGCTCTGATTAGTAGAATTTAGAGGCTTCCATGACACCAATGTATCTACTTATTATTCCTTAATTGGCATCTCATTAACTGCATGGTTTCCTTATTTGCCAAGCAAGACGTGAATTTAGTGACTTGGAAACGTGAAATCAACAGATGTGGTGGAACCCGGAAAAGCTTGCTCCTGAAGCTTTAGTTTAACCCGGTCTTAGAGCTGCATTAACAGCCTTTATTGGCCTTGTTATCGGTTGAATCTGGGTTGATTTCCATGTCTAACATGCTCTCGATGTCTTCTTGCGCAATGTGATTGATCTTGAGCTGATTTGGGTCGAGACAGATCTCTTTCGCAGCTTGCTTTTCGCATGTTGCTTTCGGCCTCTTACTGTATTTCCAATGTGTGTGGGTACTGTATGCGCACGCTCTCGCGCGATGGAAGTTGGTGGGCAGCTCATTCTTCGATTTGACTAGCCTTGGCAAAGAGTTTAGGAGTGTTGATACTTGAGATATTTCGATTTCGTGTTAGTACAAGGTTGAGAATTTGCAATCAGCTTGAGGAAGAGCGGGAAGCCAATAGCAATTCCGTTCACTCGATGGCTTGATCTCGATCCTGCAGTGTCGAACGACCGCATTTCGTTTGATCCGTCGATGCGGTGTTGTATGCTTGTATGTTTTCGATTTAGTCTTCCCCTGCAATTGTTGCATCAAGAATATGCGAATAGATCTGTGTAGGAGCCAAGGCGAGGACTTGAACTTTGACTCTAATAACATGTTTTCATTATGAAAATTTCCTCATCCAAAATTCTGATTTCCTTACCCACTCAAATCACCTGAACTCAACTCAATCCTTAACTCGGCCTCCATCGGCAGCCACTGCTGCTGCCGCCACCGGATGTCGCCGACGCCTCCCGCGGCCATGTCCAACACTACTTGGCTTGTCCCGTCGCCCGATTCCAAGCTTGATCCCCTTGCCTTCCTCCCTCTAGTTGAGGTCGCGAGGCATTGTGGCGCCCATGGGGGGAACGGGCGGTTGACGGTGATCACGACCATGGCAGCACGGGGGCTTGACGGTGGTGGGTGGCGGTGGGTAAGGAAAGTTGTATTTGCAAAGTAGGCGCATGGAAATGGTCATTAAATAAAAGTTTAATATCACGAAAAAACTCAAATTGATAATTATGTAACAAATTTACTTCAATCTAATTTTTTGATAACAAAAAATCTCAAACTGGTACATCGTGACAAATTTAGTTCAAATTAATATTTTGACCACAAAGAATCCAAAACTGATATATTTATGATAAATTTACCCTCCAGTAGTTTTCATTAAATTGAATTAATATCACAAAAAAGCACAAATCATGACAAACGAGGGTAAAATCTGAAATTGACATACCCGTCAATTGCCACGTGTCATTTGACTTGACAATTTGACGGCAAAATTTAACGGAAACTAACCGATGGTAAATTTGTCACATGTATACCAGTTTGGAGTTTTTGGTGATCAAAAAATTAGTTCGGGATAAATCTATCGCGTGCGTACCAGTTTGGAGTTTTTTGTAGTATTAACCCATAATGAAACGTAAGATACTAAGATATGTGTTTGATATTTTTCTTTTGTTCCTCCTAACAATTATGCTGGATAAATCTGCTAAATTTAGAGCATTGAAAGTGACCTGATGGTGACTACAAGTTCACTTATTAAAAGGAATCTCCAAGATCACATAACTATATTTTTTAATTCCGTGCTTTAGCTGGTGTCGCTCCTCTTTGTCGGAGAAAAATTGCATGACTTGACGAATTGGTCAAATGTAGGCGGACCACGGTCTCCTTCGTACCTCATTAGGACACTATTCCTTGACTTGACAACTTGGTCAATTATGCCCTAACATGGCAGAACGTGCTAGTGACTTAATGCGAAGAGCAAAATCTTATTTTTATACTAAAAGTTTAGTAAATTTATCAGGAGCTCCCATTAGGGATGGAGCCGAAAATCCGACCTAAGGAAGGCGAGATTTACGGTGGAATACGACTTTAAATGTCGAGTAAAATATATCGAGAAAGACCATGCCTGAGCGAAGAAAATTTAATTGTGTTAACTCCACATCTCGCTTTATATATATCCAACATGGAATAACATCGGTATTATTATTAACGAAGACGGAATAATGAAGAATATTGTTAAAAGTTTAAGTTTAGTGGGGTCAATTTTCCGGATTTATTTTATGAAGGTTTGTGCTTATTAAATATACCTAAAAACTAACTAATTATCAAAGGAGATTTAATACATGAATCGTGCTACTTACTTATGAACAATTAGAAATTGTATCTATCTTATAGGAAAAACTAAAACAAAAAAAGTAATTTAAAATTTTTGATTTTTGAATATGAACAAATAGAAGTGTTAATTGCTAAATAAATAAAAAAACGTAGAAGAATGGTTGAGGAGCTTAAGGACAACCCAAATAAATTTTATGAAGGTTTTTTTATGAAGTTTAGGATGCTTATGTTTCGCGAAAAATTAATGATTTGGATGATCAATTGTATTACTTACAAAAATGCATGAATGAGAAATATTTTCATCGCTCACAAAAATGTTTAAGCATAAATTATTATCGTTGATGAAAATATTTTTTATTAATTAATCATTTCAAGCGATATAAACGATTTATTTTTAGAATTATTTATTTTCACGAAGTAAATGGTGTTTTTGTATGTATATGAAAACATTTCTTATTAACTAATTATTTCGATTTCTTTAATATAAACGATTTATTTTTAGAAAAATATTTTTTAAATTGTTTATTTTTTTTAAAACAAACGGATAATGTTTTTAAGATAATAAAGGGCATAACACAAGGAGCCAAACCAAAACTTGGACCAAATTGAAAAGAAAAAGTGACATGGGTGCCTAAGAAGGAGCCAAAAATGGGAAGAGATATTTACCTGATGAAGAAGGCAAAACAGGTGACATGGTTTTGATTGTGAATATCAAGCAAGTTAGAGGATTCGAAATTGCACGAAAAGAAGTTGAAGGATTGAATTGAAAGAGTAGTATAATTTGAGGACCTAAATCAGATTTTATCCCCAAATAATATAAAAATCACGCTCCTATGTGCACAAATGGGCCTGGTAGCCGGTGGCAGCAGAACAGTGAGCATGGACTGGCGCGGGTCGTGAGAAAGATGTTCGGCCATGCATGCATTTGAGTGTGATTGAATTGACCGGGTTGAGTGTGTGATTGAATTGGTCTGGTTGGATGTGTGGTTGAGTTAATTGGGTTAATTGAGTGCAAGTGTGATTGGTGTTTGAGCGATTGTGATATGCTATCGAATTACTATTATTGTATTATCGTGTTGTGACTATCGTGTAGAGTTGGTATGGGCTTGATGACGAGGTAAATACATTGATGCGAATTTTACATGTTATGGGTAGATCCAGTGCATGTACGACTTGTCCTGGTACGCATTGACCTACGTGGGGGTATAGGGGTTGATTATTGAGGCTCGTTCTCACGGTTATTATATAACCATTTCCTAGATCCGCGACCATGAGTGATTGGAGACGCAAGGGTATCTCTGAGATTAAGTGATGGGTCAAGTGCCCGGTACTTTGAGTTTCCCCTTTTGTAGAGGGCTACCAAGTTTTCGAACCATTGTCTCTTTTTGATGAACGTGGATCCGTTTGTTGTTTACGTGGTCTAACTTGGGGATTGCCTTTTTGTAGAAAGTGGTACGTCATGATTTGTCAAGTGTAGGAATTTACTGAGTTATTGTTTCGTGCTATTGCCACCCCCCTTCGCCATTATTAATTGTGGGTCGTTTTATTTTTGTTTCCGCGTGTGCCTAATCTCTGGGACAAGCTGCTTCCGTTGTGGTCGACGCGTCCCGGGTGGGTCAAGCGTTCAATTCGACCATGGACGGGATGTCGCGAGGCTCGGTGGGGTCCAGGCGTGACATATTTCACATAGGATAATGATATAAATGGTCTATGAACTTTGTTCCCAAGTGCAATATTGTCCATGAATTTTTAATTTGTGTAACTTGGTTCCTAAACTTTGGCCTAATGTACAATGTCGTTCCTAAACTTTTAATTTTAACAATCTAGTCCCTGAACTATTGGTAAATGTTCATTATGGCCATTGAACTATAAGAAAATATTTAAAAGCCCATGGACCACATTGAATATTGAACCAAACTTCCGGGATATTAAATAAATTAAAAGTTTAAGGACGACATTGCATATTGGACCAAAGTTCAAGAACTACATTGAAGAAAGTAAAAATTAGGAACGACATTGCACGTTGAATCAAAGTTCGGTAACCATTCATGTCATTTTCCCTTCACATGACATATGGTTTTCCATCTGAAAGGACTGGCTGGCTAATGCTTCCCCCAATAACAGCATCATGAGGAAAACAGTAGCACTAATACCCTCTCTAGGCCAAAACTAGAAGAATCTTCAACCTGAAGCAACTAGAAAAGCCATAACATGTATCAATCAGTCGAGCAAATTGACGAATCGACTAGGACTCTGCATCTCATGAAGGTTAACGGCTTAACCTTGGATTCCGTCTCGAGTTTGGTCGCAAGAAAGTAATGAATTATCATGATCCCCTAATGCAGCACCGGCGACATAGCTTAATTAGACCGTGGCATGGACTTAGTCTTAAGAGCGCAAGCTATCATGGACCGAACAATCGAATGGAAAGTTATCTAAGATCAAATCAGCACCTATACTACAGGAGATGACCTCCTTCAGATGCGATTGAGGGCTACAATATCCTGGTTTCTGTCGATAAAAAATGGAGGATTAGTAGGAAAAAAAGAAAACATACATATGTTCTGTGTATGAGATCTGATATGATCATCGTCTATTTGGAATATAGGGGAAGTCCATATGACAAAATTCTCTGGGCAAGTTGTCTGAACCTCTCAAAGACTCCGCTCCTGAAAATCCTTTCTGATATAGTGTAAGTTCAGATCAGATGCTCAGATTATATACAGTTGCATCTGGCGAGTGCCAAGCAAAAAACCTTGTCATCTGGGTCCGGAAAGCTCCATAGCTTCAATTATGAAAGAGGACTCCTGAATGTCACTGTAATTCCTAGAGAAACTACATTCTCTGTTTTCTCCTAGGTTGTTGTTCCCACCTTGTGAATCGTCCATGTTATCCACTTGTCCGAGACCTTCTAGGACCTTCAAAACGTCGGACATCTTTGGCCGGAGGTTCGGGTTCGACTGAGTACACTGCAGGGCCAGTTCTACCGCCTTCTCTAGCTCCGGCGCGTCGAAACACCCTCTCAGATCCCTGTCCACCAGGACTTCAAGCCTCTTTTCTTCATGCAAGGTTCTCACCTGGCAAATCGGGTAAGATATTCAACATGTTACTTAGGGTACAACCAAAATTGATCAAATTCTGTATTCCTAAAGCAGATTGTAATCAGAACAATCAAAAGGAATCCAAACAGTATGTACCACAGAAAACCTTATATATGGGTAGACCTCTTTCAATGCACAGAAAAAACGATATATTACGTTCATTGATCACAATACATCACTCCTCTAAGTTCTCTTGATGATGTTAAAGCCAGACAATAAACCAGAAGAGAATGGGAAACTAATCAGCAAAGTGCACTCAGAAAAAATAAAGATTTGAAAATTTTTTGGTTCATTAAGGAAAAAAGTAAGCCTCACGTATGGATTGAGGGAAGAGGTCCAATTGTTCATTCAATCAACTTAATGTACTGAATTCTAATATATAACCACAATAATCAGGCTCAAACGAAGATGCATTAAGCATATATGGTCCAACAATTTTTATGCCCTAAACAGACAGGAAATGATAAACGAATAATGTATGCTACAGACTAGAGAAACATGTTCGTATCAGTCACTAACTATAGAAAGAGACCATCACTTGACATTCCTAGCTCAGTACTAGTAAGTACTAACCCAGTCAAGAATCATTCCTTTCTGAACCTGACCATTGCCAGCATCTAGTGCCTTTTGCCCAGTTATAAGTTCCAAAAGCAGTATCCCGAATCCAAAGACATCGGTTTTCTCCGAGGACTGTCCGGTTGAGAGATACTCTGGGGCGATGTGACCCACCGTGCCACGCACTGCAGTAGTCACATGAGACTCCCTCCTATCTAGCAACTTAGCCAGACCGAAATCACCAACTATGGCTTCAAAACTTTCATCAAGAAGGATGTTTGCTGCCTTCACATCCCGGTGAATTATTTTCGGATTGCATTGTTCGTGCAAATAGAGAAGACCACGGGCAGTGCCAAGAGCGATACACATTCTTCTCTTCCAGTCCAAAGATGGCCTTTCGCGACAAGTCTCTGTAGCAGAGATTTAAGGCACTCTAGAGTGTCAGAGTAATAAGATGAATCCAAGACCTCATGGGCCATTATAAGAGACGGCAAAGAGTAAGCCATTGTTCAAAGATAAAACAATCATTTATTCGACACATCAGAAGTCTGGTCCGTATAATACTCTGCAATACTTAAATTTCCGAAGTGACTTAGAAGTCCTCAACCTATCTATAAAGATGCCCATTTGCTTCAATTACTCTGGTGTCATAATTATACACTTTCCATCTCAAAATATCAAAATGAGTTTCTTCCAGATAAGTTTTTCGGGGTTAATGCCATGCAAGATGAAACCGATATGTCATGAGAAGATGAAAATCCCATCACATAATCGTAATAGGGCATAGGGGAGTGTAAGCACAGATGATTAAAAGGTAAGCAAATTTTGGGACAGCACTTAAACAGTAAAGCTTGTGATAAGCAAGTTTCACTGTGATTGACATGATTTTGAAGGTGAAACATTAACATTGATTAGCAATTTTTTCACAAAGATATAATACTCATGGACAATCAATTACCATGAGCAACTGTCTAGAGTCTCTTCTCCTGATTTCAAAAGAACAAATGAAGATCAAGAAAGGATCAAGAACGCAACAATTGGCGAGCTCACAAAAAAGGAGTATCAAACCTCTCAATCGGTCAGCCACACTTCCATTTGGCATGTAAGGATAAACGAGCATTCTCTCTTCTGGTGTCATACAAAAGCCGTAGAGTCTTAAGAGGTTTCTGTGCAGAGCTAGGCCAATCATCTCAACTTCAGTTTGGAACTGCACTTCACCAGTATAGTTTGGGTCCTTCAGCCGTTTGACCGCCACCAATGTTCCATTGGGAAGACATCCTTTATAGACTACTCCATATCCACCTTGACCAAGGATGCTTTTGGGGCTAAAGTTTCCAGTTGCTGTTTGCAACTCACGGAAAGTGAACCTCATCAATTGGCCAATCTCAAATTCATAATCCTGCTGTACTGTGAATTCGCATGATGGACAAGACTCCCAAGTCATTAGAAGGAAGGATCGTGTAAGATCAAAGCAAAACCCAAAACTGTCTAGGAAGTACCATATGAGTTGAAGAGAAAACGCGATCTGTACCAATGTACCCAGCAAATAAGCAATATAACCGAAACCACGAATGTACAACTGATGCCGGTGGCTACAGAAAGAACCCATCTGTTATGACCATCTGCCCTCTGAGGTGAAGATGCTGCAGCTGTTCCTGCTCCAAAATAGTATATGAACTCCATTTGCATTTTTGTGAATATTTATCATACAAAAAAAGTAAAATGACTGCATTACCGTTCATCGGTTTCGAGATGCCTGTGCAAGCTTGTGAAGTGCAGAGGAAGCTGTTTCCTGAAACACTACAAGAAGTACCATGAAGTGTTAAATGCACGGACCAGCACACCTATCTTGAAATTTATTTGATCATATGATAGTAAAGCATAGCAAGAGTTTGAAGTCCAAGCCAGTCAACAACTTAATTGAAAAACAAGAACAGGAGTCGGGACATCAAGATGTAGTTGAATGAACAATGTTAAAAATTTTGTAGCACTCCAATAGAAAGATGCATCATACAATTTTGATACGATTATGATGCACATCATATCATTTGCTCTTACTTCACCGCACTTGACCCCTTGAAAAGAAGCGTCCACGGATAGCCAACATTTTCTTATATTTTCTGTTAAATTTAGTTGAATCATTTTAACTCCTTTGTCAGATAGAGAAAATCACAGCTCCATAAATATATCATGCACTGACAGGAAAAGAAGCATGCAGCTTGTATAATAAAATATGTTTGTTCGATGGTGCTCACCTGTAGCCCTTTGCAAGTATTTTTGGAGTTGGACCACTAAGATTATTGAAAGATAAATCCCTGCTTGATTTCATTTATCAGCGTAATCACAGATAAAAAAAAACTTAATTTGATGAGAAAACAATAGAGCGGAACACATACAAGAATGAAAGACCTGAGAGATTTGCCACTGCACTAGGTATCTGCCCTGATAACTTGTTTCTACTCAGCCGCCTAAACAACTTAGTATGGGAAAGGTTTAGAAGGCCTGAAATAGACGCATACAATGCAAATACTAGGGGAGAAGAAAAAGACAGTACCATCAAAGCAATACTCACAAATAAGTCAGATGAACTAGGAATCCCAGTGAACTCGGGATGTCCCCAACAAATTGGTTTCCCGAAAGATCAAGAGTCTGAAGTTCTGAAAGCTTTCCTATCTCAAGTGGGACTGGACCAGATAGTTGATTGTTCTGCAATAGTCTTTGATAAAGACAAAAACTTAAAATCTACATTTGAAACTTCATGCCTCAAATCTGTGCAAACTCTTGTGATAATGAAATGGCTCTTTCTAAAACCTATTTCAGATCATGTCACTTAAACACCCAAGATAAGGGAGTAACCGCAGAATCAAAGGGCAATATATTCTGTCCGCATCTAGCAGAAAAATTGCATTTGGCAATTGATATTAACACATCATCAAGTGCCAATCTGCTATACATACAGGCAACACTTTCAGTAAATTGACAAAATGCTAGTAGACTCATCGCATTGTACTATGATGGCATGAAGATCAACTTATCCACTAGCAATGTACAGAAGAAATCAAACTTAGATTGATACAATCGATGTCTTGCTTGACACCCTCCAACTAGTCAATGACTAGCACAAACACTACAGACACAAGCGACTTGAATCACAGATAAAATGCTCAGCGCAAACGATCAAGCCATCACCTAACAATAAAAAGAAAGATTCTTCTTTGAAAACAGCATTTCTCTTTGCAGAAAAAGCAAATAATCTAAAACAAGTGAAACGAAAAGGTGAAGGATGCTGAAAAGCTTACAATGTCCTCAAGTGACTCAAGTTTCCAATGCTTGGTGAAAGCGTTCCTGATAGTCCAGCGCTGGTCATTTCGCTGAAAATAGCAGACAAAATCAGCAAAACTATGAATTCAAACGATGTTAACAGAGATTGAAAAAGAAAACTACAAGGAAAGTCTAGGAAGATAATATGGGCTTACAGAGAAATGACAAAGCCTTCAACAGAGCAAGCAACCATGTTCCAAGTGCATGGATCCACAGAATTAATGTCCCAACCTTCCAAAACGTGCAACTCGTCCCACATTTTGCTCTTCACCGACATCAATGCAGCCACTAAAACATGTAAAAATTGCACAAAAGCATATACACAAACATCTTTAAGTTAAAGCAAAAATAAAAATGCAAATCCAAACTCATTCAATCCCTGAAAACACAAGACAACACTTTTCTTGAGAAGACCACCTTCATAGTTGACACCCTTTGGAGAGAGAAGACTGTCAGAGGCTCTAACAACCGGAGGAAGAAGAAATAACAAGAAAAGAACCAGTTCCACTTCCATGGAAGAAGAGCAACCAGACAAGACTGTTCTTTCTTCTTTCTGTTTCTCCTTTTGGGAACTTTATATTCATACTCAACAAGCGACTTTCATGGGTCTTTTGTAGGTTTTGACCCAATGAAAGAAGCACACCAAGATCTTCTGACAGTAGAAAAGAGCACAACTCTTTTCTTTTGTTTCTCTTCTCTCCATTTCATTTATTTTCTTTTATTTGTTTCTTTAAAGCAGGGTTGCATGTAATCACATGGCTGATGACAGCACTGTCCTGGAACCTATCACTTCTCGAGAAGCAAAAACAACTCGGAGACAAGACGAATTGTATAAAGGAAAGAGCAAGTGAAAAATGAAGGCAGTTGGTTGGGAATACGTGAAATTTACTTTTTTTAATGCAATGCTTAGAATAGTTCGGTCATGAACGCAAGACCAGGAAAGCTTTAGAAAGTGTTATTTTTAATTTTGTGAGTTGGGAATCGGGACTTCGAGATTTGGATCCAACAGAGATGGTCCCCCGGTCCTTGGTTAAGTTCATCATTTATCAAAGTTGATGATTTTCTTGAAATCCCATCCACTTCAAATCCTCCCTCACATGAACATTCATGGTTTTTATTACCGATAAAAAAAAATCGACGTGCGTGATTTTTGATAGATTCAGTGTATTGTGTTAGCATTGAGGTAAAAGTGAGAAAGGGAAATTTTGGTTCACCCTTAAACTAAAGTTATATCCATAAAATAATTTCACTATAATTAACATCTCCCATCTATTTGGTACATCACTCTCAATTACAAGAGAAAAAATATAAAAGCACAAACTATCAATAGAATACGGCCTCAAACTACAAAAGACATCTGATGTTGCGGGGGTGCTGCCCCTTATGACTCTTGCCATCGAGGCCTCCCCGAAACCCCACTCGCTCACCGTGGAGTGGGACTCTCATGCCTTCATGTCGATAGGGAGTACAAACCACACCCCAATATGTTGCACTAAGTTACTTTGTTCATTGGCCTATGTATCAGTAGTGAGTTGATTGGTCAACTGTTTATGCTAATCCAATTACTTATTGCTAATACAAGACAACATATTGTTTATCAAAAGACAAAACACAAGATGACATATACTTTATCGACATGCAAAGCACAAGCTTGCACCTGGCTCCACTAGCGCAATAGAAGCCTCTTCAATGATCACCTTCCCATCAACTTTCTTTCTTGGCTATTTTGTAAATTGTATTAGTTTCCGTTCTATTTTTTACACGTTAAAAAGGACATTTTTTTTTTCTCAAAAGCATAGTACAATACGTAGATATTGAAATGGAACAAGAAATTGGTGTAGGAAATCCAACGATCTAGTTCCGTATATAGAAATAAAAATATCTAAACATTGTTGACACCAAAAAAATGTTCGTGTGTTGTAGTCGACAGTTTGATCGACAAAACCCGTCGAGTAGTAGAGTTAATGTAACCGTCGAGTAGTGGAGTCGACATCTTGAATATCCCGATCAATTACAAAATTCAACATTCTTATCAAATTTAGTGACATTTTTTTTTCTAAAAGCTATAGTTTACAATACGTAGTAATATTTAAATATGAACAAGAAATTCGGTAGGTTGGACTTTGGCCTAAGCCTGGCTATGAAAATATATAAATGGGAAGGCAAATAAAAGCCTGAAAAAGATTTGCACTAAGGATCTCCTACTTTAATATTGTGTAAGATGTTATTGGGCTATTACCAACTGTTTCAATTGTTCTAATATTTAAATATTCTAATAGTTCTTTTGTGTATTTATTTTTATCTTCACTTTTCAATAATTTATCTTTTCCTATAATTTACATCGCTGGCAACGACCCTTCACACCTTTTATCAATTCACATATATCTATCCACATTCTATAAGGTATTTTCATCAACTTTTCAGTGATACATCGAAACCCTCACACCTAATTTTGGCCGTCACCATCTTTAAACCAATGAGTAAGGACGATACCGCACGAGCATCCGAGATTAGGTTTTCCTATGCTTCTCCTCCCTTAGACGGTCTTTATGGATTACGGTAAGTGTTTAGAGTAAGAAGTTGAGAGTGCTCCATAGCCTATTTAATAGTATTTATAGCGTGTATCTTAATAGATTCATCCATCACAAGGTCACTATTAAAATATTACCCCACGGCCTACACTGACCATCCAACTTTTTTTTATTTACCGAACAGAGATGTGTTAAAAGCCCGATATAATTTGATCGCATAATCGAATTCCTATCCACATTCTATAAGGTATTTTCATCAACTTTTCAGTGATACATCGAAACCCCCACACCTAATTTTGGCCGTCACCATCTTTAAACCGATGAGTAAGGACGATACCGCACGAGCATCCGAGATTAGGTTTTCCTATGCTTCTCCTCCCTTAGACGGTCTTTATGGATTACGGTAAGTGTTTAGAGTAAGAAGTTGAGAGTGCTCCATAGCCTATTTAATAGTATTTATAGCGTGTATCTTAATAGATTCATCCATCACAAGGTCACTATTAAAATATTACCCCGCGGCCTACACTGACCATCCAACTTTTTTTTATTTACCGAACAGAGATGTGTTAAAAGCCCGATATAATTTGATCACATAATCGAATTCAGGCTACCAAACATCTTCTCATATATTTTATTTATTTACTTTATAATTGATGAGACTAGCAAGTTTTCTCAACAATAATAACCTATTATCACAAACTAAACTATTATATGGTTAATGTCTGCTCACCTTAATAAGCATTTCCAATCTTCTCTCAGTTAGGCAACATTAAATTAATTGCATAGTGTTTCGAAAAGATTGGACTTTTATGAAACGACTCTTGCACCGTACTGTATGTGGGTCACCTTGGAGACAATCTCAAAAGACAACCCCGACCAACAAAATTTACCAGCATGGATCGGAGCGCCATTAATTTGCTATTTACCAACAAATTCTTATGCACGGTGTACATTTTACCCCATTATTTTGTGGACTTCGACCCCACTATGGTTTGAGGCTACAAACGTAGAATTGTAAACCCTAAATCGCAGACAGATAGAAATTGAAATTCAAAATTTAATCTCGAATCCTATGCTAAAAGAATATCCTGAAAACTAACATCAATTTACTATAAATTTTCATGTGGCCTTAGAGTTCTTTCTTCAAGGGGCTTTTACACCCCTTTTCATGTAAATTTAGGTCCGTCTACGGTCAACATCACATTTGAGAGGAAAGAAAATCTTTTAGATCCTTCGGGATGTGTCGTCCATCCACCTATTTGATCGTGTATTTATCGTATTAGCCACATAGCGTTTTGCTCCTTTACCGGTGGAATCATGGTTATGTGAATTTATGGAATGATGTGGCAGTGTGCCACGTAGAAGGACACTCGGCGATAATTGGACTATTACGTTAGCGATTTTTCAGCGAAAATTGACAGAAAAGACTACAATGGAATTTTGTACAAAGATTTAGGACTAAATTAGCCAAATTAGAAATTTAGGACTAAATTGACATCCGTATAATAAGTTTAGGATCAATTGGATGATATTTCCTTATGAAAGACATGCACAGTTTGAATAAATTTCCGAAAACAAAAAAGAAGAAAAAGATGGAGTTGGTTTTGTCAAAAGTTATTTTCGATATATACTATTAATTCAAAGTGATTATTAAAAATAATCACATACACAGGGCATCGGTTCACAGACCCGATTCCCTCCATATATGAACCTACGTTCGACTTATTTAGTGGGGTTTTCTATAAATGCAAAACACTTCAATAATTCCTCCTCGAGGACCTAGATCATCCATAACTTTAAATTTTCAGTTTGCGAAAAATGAATGATTTAGAAAACATTTTTCTAAAAAATATACACGATCGTTTGAAATAATTAGTTAATAAAAAAATTTTCATTTTCGCCAAAAATATTCATTATGAATGATGGAAATAATTTTTCTTGCGTACATTTTTGTAAGCGACATTAGCCATTATTTTTAGGAATATATTTTCTAAATTATTCATTTTTTGCGAAACAAATACATCCTAAGAGGCACACTCTTTTGGTAGGTTGAATAGCACATCCAGAGTTTAGGGAATGACGACTATCCTTTATAAAATACAGGAATAAGCCATTAACCGAAATGAGTTACTTTTAGAAAATATATTAGTTGAATACAACCTTTCGTTGAATGAAAATCATTAAAAAAAAAATTCTAGTGCATTTTGAATCAACCAAAACTAGGAATTCACGAACTTAAAAAGTCTCTTGTCACGCCTAAAATCGCTCTCTACGTGCATTCAATTAAACTTAAAATGATAAATAAATGGGGTGAGCAAAATCACGGTTCAGTAAGTTGCATTCCCACTTCTATCCGATCAAGTAGTGCATGATGTAAATTTCATTAAGATTATGCAATAAATCACACGAGTAGCAATTATCCCGTTTAAATCTCATACTGCAATATCTCGTGTTATGTATATCATCTCATTATCAAAGCAGATATAGATATCGAATCCATTGTTCATGCCGGAACAATAAGCCCCAAAAATTAAATCGGTCGTGATTAAACCTGATAAAATCATATCGGGTCGTGATTAAGCCGTAGCATATAACCGGTCCGTATCAATGAGAAGTAATGCACCCATATGAAAATTACGAAAATGCCCTCTGAGGACTGATTTTTTTTTGGGTCATGGGCCCGATATACACCCAATTAGACCCCAATAAAATGGTTTGATGCCGTAAAAACATCATAAAGTAGCACGGAGCAATTCAGAGATTACTATGACCAAAAAAAAAAATAAAATTCAGAGATTACAAAACAGGAAATCCCACTTCCAATATTCGAAAAATAGACATTTAGGGAATTAGTAAAATATTCACATTTTCAAAACACCATTTTCTTGGATTTTCACTATTTCCAAAATTTCCGCAATTCACAATCGTTTTCGTTAAAAATTACCCCATGACAAAAATGAACTTTATTATTTTTCCACGAATAACGAAACAAACTGAAAGCAACAAAATTCCAAGTATGCTAATTTTTTTAAATTTGCAATATTTCAGAAATTACCGAAAATTGCAAGTTCCGTTTGTTTAGCGAAAAATAAATGATTTGGAAGATATTTTCCTAAAAACAATTGCTTGAAATAAGTAGTTAATGAAATTTTTTTTCTTTATCGACAAAAGTTGATTTCTAAATATTTTCGTGGATGGTGAAAATATTTTTCGTTCATTTATTTTTGTAAGCGATACAAACGATCGTTTTTTGAAAAATATTTTCAAAATCGTTTATTTTTCGCAAAACAAATAGGGCTGCAATAATTCCAAAATTTCCAAAGATTTACGGATTCTAGTATGTGTCGGTCCCCCAGTATAGTGGAGAAAACCGAATCGCAATCCGACGCGAGGAAAGTTGCGCGCCCCGTTCGAAAGTTACTGCACTCGCAAGAAAGCAGAATTCCCAAATTTTTCAGAAGCTACTAAATTTAAGGACTTGAGACAACGAAATTGTGTGATTTTTCGCGTCCTACGGATTCAAGGTGAAGAGAAGTATCTGTTCATGCGGTGGGTGTGGCCGGGAATTCCCCGGAGCACCGCCGGTGAAGGAAGAACAGAAGGTTATTGAAAACATAACAGAACAGAGCATATGGGAGAGCCAAGCCACTATTTGGGGGAGTCTCTGGAAGAGAGAGGAAATTTTAACACAAAGTTTCTGGCTTATTAGAATAATTAAATATTGAAGCACGCCTTCATCTAATAATTTCAATTTTTATAACAGTCGGCGGTGGTTTTACAAAATCTCATATGGTATCAAAGCAAGAGGTTCTGAGTTTAAATCTTTACGGACCTCATTTACCTCCCCAATTAAAAATGTTCACGCTTAGCGTGAGAGGAAGTGTCAGAATAATTAAATATTGAATTGCGCCTTCATTTAACAGTTTTAATTTTAAAACGGATAGATAGAATAATTAAATATTGAATTACGCATTCATCTAACAGCTTTAAAACTTTTAAAATGGATAGAATATTTAAATATTACGTCACGCATTCATCTAACAGAATGTTTAACCGTGATCCTAGCAAATTTCACAAGAATAGTCGGCGAAAAATATTTTCCGAAACTTTTTCATATTGATCGCCGAACACCGGAAAATTATGTTCCGAGAAAATATTTTTCAGGAAAATGACTTTCGGAAAATATTTTCCAAAAGAGAATATTTTCCGCCAAACGAACTGTACCTAACAACAGTCAGCAGTGATCCTACACGTACCGCGTCATTTTGAGCGCCTGACCAGCTTCGACCTTCCCCTCTCTTCTTTCTCGGTGGCCTGGACGTGAGGAAAAAAAAAACAATATAGCCGAGGGAGTTGACTTTTGAAGCTGCTGGTGGATTGGGTTTGTTGACTTTTTCCAACGTAAAAGCCCAAAACCAACTCTGTTTGCGATAGGCTACCAGATGATTTCTTTGATCTTTTGAAGGCCAAGCAACAGCTTTCTTTTGTTTATTTGGACCTAAGTTTCGTTTTTTTACAGAAATAATTTGCGTTTGATTTACCCACGTGGTTGACGTGGCCCATGCACACGTCCTGATCCAACCATTTTCATATGTGCATCCGACGAAAACTGACATAGATTTTCTTCTCCTTCTCCTCCTTCGTCTGCTCTGAGGTTTCCCAGGAACGAAGATGAACATATATGAAGTTGTCGAAAATGATAGGTTTGTCCAGTTTGGTGGCCAGTTGTTGTTGGGGGTGGAGGTGACAACGTTCTTGAATCAGAAGTAATGTGTTTCAGGTGTCTTCTTTTTAAGTTCTTGATCTCTCGCTTTCTTCTCACACCTTCCGTTGTATATGTTCAGTTTAATATCAATTTTCACCAACTTCCTAGCTTCGATTCAAATCATGCTCCAAGTCGGATGTTCTTATTTATTCGGATTTTACGTTTCTCTTGATTTTTTCTTGATTCAGTCTCTACCACCAAACTTTAGAACTAAGTTGAACTTGTCTAAACCAGTTGACGGGTCACTTTCAGTTGGAGTTGGAGTAAGGTTATATACATAACAAACAGTGCCAGCGAAAGAGAATTGCTATAGAATGTTAGCTTCTTTCTTTCATGGTCATTTCTTCTTTGTCATTGATCATATAGAAGGACTCGTTCATAATGAAGGGATTCATTTTGGCTTAGTCGATTTAGGCGAGTTGAAGCGATAGAAGGTATGTTACTTCAATGGGAAAGGAAGGTTCGCCTAGATCATCGGTTTCAAAGCTTGGAAGTCTGACGGGAATTGATCCTCAATTTAGTAGCAGAATGTCAGGGTGTGAGAATCATTGGAGCAAGGCCATGCAAATGCATGGATTCAAGAATGAGCCCGCAAAATTTGGTGCTTTTAAGGGGGTCTCGGCGGGTAGAAGGACTTTGTCATTTCGTCGGCATGTTCGGACCATTGGTTTCGTGTTTTTGTGGATGGGTTTCTTCGTCCTGTTTGATGAGTTTATGGTGTCTATTTTTGATTCGGTAAATCTTCACAATGTTTCGAGACCAGCCAAATTGAGCGGGCCAAAGGTACAATCTGGCTTTCCTCTTGAAAACTGTTTCATCATACTAATTCAACTTTGAAGCCTTCCTACCGTAGTCTCGATGCTCTAATTACCAACATGCACGATGATTCTTGATTCTCATTGGAGGAGAATTGACCATGTTCTAAGATATCCTTCGTGATCAGGGAACTTGGCATTTTAGAGGCATGGTACTTGTGTTAGCTTGCTGCGAATCAACTGGACTATTGCTTTTGGTCTTTATTTTCATAACAATGCATGTAAATAAGGTGTACAATCAGTCTTTGATTTCATCATTTACCACTCTCTTTTGTTTATCCAAAGGAAGACAGGAATGCCTCTGGAGAAGTAGAAAAGCCAGCGGTAAAAATGTACGACCGGCTTCTGAATATGGCCTCGACAGCGCTCGCTGCGGTATGCCATTCACAAGTGGTGCAATTTTCTGGTTTAATGACTAAACTTTTCCCGAAACGTGTGATGTTAAATGTCGCCCATGGTTTTAGGGAGAGTTCAAGCAAGAGTCATCTAGCTTCTGGGAGGAACCACAAAGGCAAGCCGCTCTGTGGAAGCCTTGTTCAGACAAAAAGGTCCAAACAGGTTCAGGTACAGAGTACACCTGACTGGATTTTGCTCATTAGCAGTGAAACTTGTTTGTCCTTAACAGCTCTTTAATCGCTCGGTGGGAAAAGTGAATGATTTAACCGTGAAATCCTAATGAAATAACTAAAAATTTGTGGAGTCTAATATCAGGTTTTCTTCCTTGACCAGGAAAATTGGGGAGTAGCCATGGAGATAATGGCTACTTATTAGTCAGTGCTAATGGGGGACTAAATCAACAGCGAGTTGCGGTAAGCATTGACTTATTCAATCAAATGATTCTGTATTGGATGAGAACACCTACCAATTGTGATTACAAATACAGAAGCCTAGGATTTAAATGTGTGAACAGAAGACAGGAAAATCTTGAAAATGCTTTTTTTGCACTCAAGTCATGAAAGGAAGCAATTTATTTCGTTATACCCTTAACCATGCAAATGTGATGAGGAAACAAAGACTGAGATAAAGTCTTCACTGTAGTACGTTTGTGCAGATGCGAATCGCCATCCATGTAGAGGACGATGCATATTCCGTGACTACTCGTCATTACAGTTTTCATCATGGATTAGCATTCAGTCTGACCTTTTAGTTAGGTTATTCTCTAATTATATAATAAAAAAGATGTGTATAGATACATATATACATATCTTCAAGATTGATCTCAATGGCATTAGCTGGGAGAGAAAATCTATAAATATTTTCAGCAATCCCTAGCACCCTCACAAGAATTATGTGCCGCTGGTCTGAAGTATCATACCAGTGCGATGCTTAGAGCATATTTTATCCTGTTTCATTCTCAACGTATAACCATCAACAATGTCGCGTTCTTAAATCATTTTGACTGATTTGCTTCTCCCTATAGAGTATAGTTTCCCTATCTAGCATTGGATTCTGTTCGGGTCTGTGCTAATCTAGTTTACCCAATCTTTTCCTGTCATGCTTAAGAAAGTCTATCTTAAGGAATCTATATCAGCAGTCAAAAAGCTCATCGTTACTAAAAATAAGAAGAGATATTTCTTGATCAAGATCACCTGAAAAAACAGGAAATTGCCAACATCCTATTGTATAACTTCATAACAAGCTTTGTACTAGCGATCCGTCCTTTTGGAACTTTGAGATTTCTCTGTTCTTATACAGTCTTCAGTTCTCTAAAATCAATTAATAGTCTCGCCACAATTTCTTTCTCCAAGACCTATGGAACATGATATATGACCGTATTGCGATTATTCTTTGGTGATTTCTCCATCTCCGACAGTTAAAAGGAGCATAGTGTAATGACAATCTGTGGCTGACTTATGCAGATCTGTAATGCTGTCGCTGTTGCGTCTCTTCTTAACGCCACTCTGATTCTTCCAAGATTTCTGTACAGCAATGTGTGGAAGGATCCTAGGTTTGTCCTGACTTTATGTTATACTTACATGTTCGCGTACAAGTTTTGCAGCGACTATTTCACCTTGTTAGATGATTAAATACCTGTATAGTAACCTTCTTGTTATAATAGGAACAAATCTCGAAGTGTTAGGAAATTTGGTTTTGTTCAATTTGCTAAACATACTAGAGATATCGACGTACCTTTAAAAAGCCGCATTAAACTAGGGGCAGTACTCCTGATTAATTTCAAGTATTCACTGCCTATCATACCTTTCTTGATGCATCATTAAGTGCTCAAACAATTATAGTCTGTAAATAAATAGTATCCCGGTCCACCAATTGGTTGTGAATTCCCATTGAATGCATTGTTCATTTTTTTCTGACGATGTATCTGGGTTATGCTCCTTGCATTCAGACGAGAGGTAAGGCATGTTTCTAATACCAAGTGATCGCAGCGGGATTGCAACAAGTGAGGAATAGTTCTCGATTGACCTTAATGGGAGCAGGAAGCTACAAAATAAACTGTTTTCACTGGAAGCATCATTGTAGTGATTATCTTGAATTACTAGAAGGCCTACGAGGATTTTTTATATTGTCCAAACTCTAGGTAGATAAGGATATCTCACATTGAAAGAGAAACTGACCAAGCAATGCTTTAGACAGAAGTGTGGATTGTCTGCAAATGAGGTTGCTGACTACAGATGCAAATTTCATATGAATGCATGAACCGAAACCCAATTTTGAATGACCCTGAGTTCTGAGTTGGTTACCAATTGATGTACGGGGCCTTTAAAGTCTTTCCATGGTTGCTCAAATTCTCAATTGTCATTTCGGCCTTATAGCTTCCGTTTTCGGCTTGAGCTGATCAGCCTGCTCTAGAAATTCCTCTGTAATTCATTTTTCAAGCATGTCGTAGGTCTGAAGAAACTGCTCATAAAGTTTGGCACAGAATGAAATCATTCTGTTCATTTCCTTTCCAAGTCCCTATTTGACAATCATGCTTCTAGCCCTGACCACCTATGACAATCATATATGAGATCTGACGTTAAGTATGACATGGCGAACTCTTCCTTAGGTCGATCTTCAATGAGATGAATATATTGCATGTTTTGGCAGGTTTGCCATTCATGAACAAGTTTTGGGTCAAGTGCTTCTGTCTGAAGATACCTCGGTCTCTAGCATGAAGCAGTTAATAATGCCTACTTTGCATGCATTATTGAATCTTTCGGTGAAGCAGGCTTTATTTATTGTTGAAATTGCAGTCAGTTTGGGGATATTTACCAAGACAAATACTTCATAAAGACTCTGGAGGGAGATGTAAACATTGTGAAGGAACTTCCACCTCATCTGAGAAACTTGGATTTTGAAGCAATTGGTAGCCAAGTATGTCGTCGTAATCCGCCTATATTTACTTGATTTTTTTTGGCAAACAACATTCTAATTGTTGTACCAGATTACTGACGCAGATATTGCTAAGGAGGCCAAGCCAGCTGATTACATCTTAGGTGTGCTTCCGATCCTAAAACGGAATGGAATAGTACATTTTCTTGGATTCGGAAATCGCCTCGGCTTCGATCCAGTTCCATTTAATCTTCAGGTGAGTAACTTCCCTTCGTGTAGACAGCACAGATTTGGCATATAAACATGCCTATGCATGCTAACCAACTTATATATCTGTACGCAACCTACATTATTTCAAGTCTTTGACTGGGGTCCGGTTTTCACTTCTCTCTTTATGCATCATTTTGGATCCTATTGATGCTTCTTATTACGTTCCAGAGACTAAGATGCAAATGTAACTTCCATGCGCTTAAGTTCGTCGCGAAAATCCAAAGAGCTGGTTCATTGTTGGTAAGGAGGATCAGAAAGTATGATGCTTCTCAGAATATGTTAGACAAACAATTGCTCGGAAACTTCCTACCAGTGCCGCCACTAGGAAGACACGACATTGCAAATGGTCGGTCCAAATACCTCGCCTTGCACTTGAGATTCGAAGAGGACATGGTAGCGTACTCCCAATGTGAATTCGGAGGTGGCGAAGACGAGAGGAAGGAACTTCAAGCTTATCGAGAAGTTCATTTTCCTCTGCTAATGGAACGCTTGAAGAAGACGAAGTATGACTTCTCTTTCTTAATTGACTAATGGGTTTCTTGCTTGGTTTACCAACAGCTTTTTTGCTCAAATTTCATTCCTTCTATATGCTTTATTGACAGGTATGTTTCTCCAGCAGAACTGAGGAAGTTGGGGAGGTGTCCATTGACACCAGAAGAAGCCGCACTTGTTCTCGCCGGCCTCGGCTTTAAGCGAGACACGTTCATCTACCTGGCCGGGTCCGGCATATATGGAGGAACGTCGAGGATGCGACCGCTCACCGGCCTTTATCCCAACTTGGTCACAAAGGAAACTCTCCTCACTCTAAGCGAACTCTCTCCGTTCAGAAACTTCTCCTCCCAGGTAAATCAACACGGGCTTGCTTCTTCTGCAGCAGCAGATTTCTTCCACTGCAACAGTTTTACTTCCTGTTTCCTCCAAAAGATTCCGTAATCATACTCCTATAAATGGTTTTGAATTTCAACAGTTCATTCAGGAGGCTTTCCTTTCCCTTGATATGGACAGAATCTGACTGCAATGCGCAGATTGTAAAACTGTAATAACCAATAGTCGGATCTCGGTAGCCGAATGACCTGACGATACAGTCTGCTTGTCTTATTGCAGCTCGCGGCATTGGACTTCATCGTATGTGCAACTGCCGACGTGTTCGCCATGACCGATTCTGGGAGTCAGCTGTCCTCCTTGGTGTCCGGATTCCGCACTTACTACGGTGGAGAACACGCTCCCACCTTGCGGCCCGGCAAGAAGAGGCTAGCGGCAATTTTGTCGCAGAACGCCACCATAAGGTGGAGCACATTTGAATACAAAGTCAAGAAGTTGATCGGAGAAGGCCAGAGAGCGCAAGTGAGGCGCTTCGGGCGGAGCACATATCGCCAGCCCAGGTGCCCGGAATGCATGTGCAAGTCCGGCTACCTCTCCAACGGCACGCCCTCGAGGAATTCCCCTTAAGTCTCTTTCGGCCTTCCGACGAGATATTTGTACATAGAAAAACGGGTTGCGGCATGAAGCTCGGTCCTGCCGAATCTCTCTGGATCTGTGCTCAGGATGATAATTTCAATGATCTGAGTTCTTCATACTCACTAGCCACATCTGCTCTGTTTGCTTGCTGAAGCTTCAATTTGCCATTTGCAATTTGTCTTCCAACCTTCTGGTTAAGAAGGCTTGATGAATTGTTTCATTTTTTGATCGCCACGGTGAAGAAACAAATTGATTTCTCATCTTCATTAGAACTTGGAAGTGATGCCGTCTGCAATTAATCCCACTCCTTTCCTCACAAGCGAAACAAGGAACCAAACTCGCAATCGCAATGTTTCCACCAAATCCAAGAAGCTGGTTCAGAATATAGATGGCAAGGCCGTCGTCGAATTTTCATTCTTTATATCTACGTGCAGCTCTCCTCGCCTCGGACGTGTTCATCATTCACTCCTATTTCGCCCGCAGACACTTTTCCTCCTAAAATTTCAAGACCATGCCATTCCCTGTTTTCTTGCGGTGAACCGCAGACTTCAGTAGATATGAGTACAGGTTCTTAACAGGTGATGTGCCCCAAGTAGAAAATATTCACGAATTCAAGGTTATCGACGACTTTGAGAACATAAATTTAGGAGATTCTTCGTGTTCTACGCAGAGCTCGACAAAGTGATCTACTCCTGTCACAGCTTAAATCCATTCTGAGGAGATTGCTTTTTAAAGTGCCCCGGAAAATTCATTTATCAAATCTACTCATTCCAATGTTGCCCAACAGTTCAGTGCAGACGTACAATTACAGTACATAAAATGGGACATGTCCCGGGGAAAATCAAACATGCCAACAATACATCTCTGGAAAATTTTCACCTTACATTTGAGAAGTTAACACTTTCAGAGTATAAGAACATTCCCTCTTTCAGTGGAAGAAAAAAAATATGAAGGTACCCGATTTGTCTTGCGCGCAGTCTAGCAGGATTCGATCTGATCTCGGAATCCTTGGCGATCTCAACTAGGATTGATCGATTAAGAACGAAAGTCAACCTGATGCTCCTATAATCAATTTTAACATCAAGATCTTCTATCCAACTTCTTCTCGCCAGATCTTCTCTCTTCTGCCTCTCTGCGTCTCTGTTGGCTGTCATTTCAAATAAAAATTGGATCATTACTTGAGAGTACCAGGGATAATAATCCGTGAGTTTAAGTCCAAAATATGCATGGGAAAAGAACAGGAGTTGATGTTTGGAGAGGGAATGAAAAAGCTCGACAGTACAGCATTTTTAGGTCATATGACTAATTTTGAAGACGAGGAAATAGTAAACTGTTCCGAATCAACCCTAAATACTTCTGACTTGCCTGACCATTTCTAAGAGAAATTTAAGTTAAAAAGAAGATCATGGACTCACGCGAAGGCTGTATAACCTGCACCAGCATTTGCGGCAGATAGAATTGCAGCATGAGCAGCAACGGTGGACACAGATTCCTGTGCTCCTGATGGCTTCCGGTCACCATCCACCTGAAATAAAAAGCAGAATCTTTCAATTCAGTCGACTGAATAAAATCTAGTAGTGGATATTCACATGCAAGAACAAGTTAGACCTTATCCCATTTTGATTTTTTGTTCTGCCGGCCATCCCGAGCAGCAGGATCACTAGGTCGCAAGCCACCAGAAGCAGCAGTTGGAACACCTGCAAGAGGAGCTTCATAAGAACATGAAAGGTAATAGCTACCCCGATATAGAGTTGTTCATACCAATCCTTGACTACATTTACATGGATTGCTTTTCAACCTGCAACAGGCACATTAACTTTGGGCAACATTGCAGGTGCTCCAGCTTGAACTCCACTAGAAACAAATTCGACCTGCTGGCTCTTTTTCCTCTCTTGTTCCTTTCTTTCTGCTTCTCGTTTCATGTCCACCTCTGTTCATGGAAATATGATAATTAATTGTCCAAATAACACGAGGCAAAAGCAATTATAATGGAAAATAGAGATTGTTTTTGACAGAGACCATCAAGTGTTTCTAAGAACATTTATAGCTTGTAAACACATGAAAGGCAATAAATCTGAATGAAGCATACAACCAATGCGGTTCTTCAGTCACCTGACGGAAATAATCATACATGGTGGGAAACTCTGAAAAGAAAATTAGTTAAGAAACAAGGATACTATAGCAATATATTAGCACTACGATGATCCCCAATCAAGTAGGTATCAAGGTCCCATTAGAAGGTATCCACAGACCTGAATCCAACAATACAATAGACAAATGGAATACTGTACGCAAAGCTGAGAGCAGTAGTTCCTTTAAAGTCTCATGAAGTCGTCCAAAAGGCACAGAATAGCAACACTCACATTTGACCAGCCCGTCTAACAAATAAAGATCATACAAAAGAAAATTTCAGAAATCCGTGTTCACTGAAGAAATTACATAAAGCTCTGTTTGATGCTCTTTCAGGCAGATTCAGTCCACTCCTTGGTCACGTAAACACAAACAGAAGGAACTTTTGAGAGATGGTATGCAGTTCAAATAAGCCAAAAGGAAACACAAACCTGATGAGAGTAAAGAACAAAATAATAAACATGATAACAGCAGAATTAAAGCTTAAATCATCAAGGCACATGAGTGCATGCAGGCAGAGAGTTGTTGAGAAGAAAGAATACTAACCTAATTCATCATAATAGTCACTTGGATCATAACCATGGGGATCAAACACCTCCTTGTTGAAGCAAGATCCTATCTGATCAATATCTTGATATCTCACCGAATGTAGCAAGAAGTCTGGGTTTCGATAGTCTTTCCTGTTGCGCACTTCAGCATTGAAACTTTTTCCAGCTCTTTTGTACGCAATAAATTTTCTCACTCTCTCCTGCACGAAAATGCAGAAGGAAATTAACAGAAGAAACTAATCTTACATCTTACAACATTAAGAGACACATATTTTTGTATATACTAAAGAATCTTTAAACAATCCAGTAACTTATAACTCTCCACAAGCTCTCCACATGCTACAATGAGGTTGGCCCGAAAAATTACAGTGAAAATAAGAGATCAAAAGGTTTAAGGAAAAAGTATTCCAATATACACCATGGGATCTCAGAGAAGACATGGAGCATTTAGAATTCTAGATAAGAATAAACAAAGGAGACAAAGAAAAACCAATTAAGCCTCCCCAAAAATATGCAATCCTGGTGCTCAAAAACCCATTTGAATTGAACCTGTAATGCCCAAGGTACTCAAAGTCACTTTTGTAACTATGATTGACGAGGTCCCACGAAATTTGGTTGCAACACCAAAGCAAGAAACAGTAAGACTTCTTTATATAACAGATCTGCAAGATTCTACAGACTCAATAAATCCAATTTAATGATACCACTCCTACAGTATCAACATCAAATTTCTGAAGCCACAACACAAATTATAAAACTGCAAAAAAGTTAGAATAAAACTGTCAATTTCAAACTTAAGCGTATCAAGTTCTCGACTGATTAATCATACATAATCTTAGTCTATTCACCGTGTAAAACATGTGATTACGAAAAGATCACCCAAAGATTTCAATCGTTTGATTTCCTTTCATAATTCTAATGAACAGAGAAAGGAACTCCATACAATCTTGAAAAAGATAATAAGATGTCTAATTGTCAAAGAAATCCCAAATAAGATCAGGAATTATGCACTCATCAGAGGAATAGTAATCGGCGCCACTATTTTGGTGCAGCAAAGAGGATTTACCGCTGCCTTCCAGCTGTCATTGTAGAGGATAGTGAAGGATGGCTCTCTGTTCCTGAATCTCTAGCTTTGAATTTAATGTTGCCCTAATCAGTTTGTCCAGTTGGAGTTCATTTTTTAATGTCACCCTCAGATTTCAATTGTCTGACTTCTTATTATTAATGGAAGCAGGAACTCTACAAAATCTTCAACAAGGCAATAAGATATCAGATTTTCCTAAAAACAAAATCTGGAAGTACGCGGGACTCATCAAGAAGGATAGTCAGCCTCACTATTTTGGCGTGCTGCAGCGAAGAGGCTTTACCATTGCCTACCAGTTGACATTGCAAATGAGAGTGAAAGATGGCTCTCTGTTTCCAAATTTCTATCTTTAAATCAAAAGTTGCCCTAATTAGTTTGTCAAGTTGGACTTATTTTCTTATCTCCTTTGCTTTTCTTTTTTTTTTTTAGTTGAGACTAGTGAAATGGTATGTTTTACTAAAGCCAATTGTCTGTTTCCATCCTACTACGTTTTGAACATCTTTAATGCCCAAATATCCAACAAAAGAGCACCTGTCCAGACGGGATGAGCCAATCATGAGTAATACATGTGAACCCTCTTTTTACGGCAGTTCACCTCATGAATGCTTAGGCAGTTTCGTATGCATTGAATTTTCCAAAGAAAAGTACCCACCTTGCTATCAAGAAACAAATATATGTTGTCTCTAATCATGCTACATGCATTTAGTTGCAAAGTGCATGCGTTCTTTTTATAAGATAGATATAAATAAAAAGGGGGAAACATGAGCATCAAACCATTTTGAAAATTATCAATATTAACTTTTAACCAATTAGGCTATCCATGAAATTCTAAGGTGTTGATTTATCTGAAAAATGTTGCTTCGTTCCATTTGGGAAAGAAAACCATCCACCTACCTCTCAGTACCCAAGTATCAATCCCCGGGTGTGTCATTCTGTTCCACTCACAATCCAGTGAGAAACTATAGCAGCAAGTAAAACTCTTAACTTCCTTTCTATTTGCCACTGGCCACACGTAATCTGCTCCAACCCAACACACGTCTAAAACAGCCCATTAAAAAATTTAAAAAAGAAAACCCTAAGAGAGCATTCACCTTCACCCATATTCCGTCCATCCCCTAAAAATGAAAGAGAACATTTGTGACACAGTTTCTTTTGCAAGTTCATAATTCCAACATCAGCTGCAACAATATGCCCCCTTCTTTCAATATTATGACTTTTCATTTTCTTTAAAGCTTTTCGAGGAAAGAGACTGACCCTAAACTGTAAAGCCACTTTCCACATCTGTCCACAAGAATTGCTGTTTACACACATTTCATCAGTAGAATTATCCAACAAAAGATTCTTAACCCTCCGACTTACAACCTTGAAAAATAATTGGAAAAAATACCTCACTATTATTCTCAACGTTCATCATGATTTAGTGTATTATTGATATGGTGAAGTAGGCACAAATAGTCAAGAAGAAATAGCAAATGGTTATAGGTTCATTCGACAATTCATAGATTCAAAATTCAGTAATCGCCCTCAATTGAATTAAAGAATTGGACGAACGCTAATACCAGGAGTTCTCAGGCTGGAGTCACTGAGATCATTCCGTTCTTTCAACAACTCACTCTAACTCTATATAAGTCCTATCTTCCAGTTCTTTCCTAGTGTACACCAACAAGAACATAGAAAAGTGGCTTTTGAAGCCAATAATGCCAATGAACTTAACATATAGCTTCTTAAGCCTCAAAAGCCAAGTAAGGCCAAACCCAATTCTACTGCAAGGACCTATAAATTCTTCAAGGACTACCAGTCAGTAAAGAGATATTAGTTGGGCAGCCTAGCCAAGATAATGTTCCTTATGCTTGTCAGAGTTTGATGTTCGACTAAGAGGCTTTAGGCCAATCAGTCAGCTATCTCTTCGCCCAATAGAAAGTAATTCCGGAAATAAGGACAATCCAGTAGTGCAACTTACAAGTTTTAGCATTTAGTGTAATTGCTACAAGGAAGCCGACTAAAGACATGAGATTTATAGCTCCAGATCTCTTGGAATAATTTGTTACTAGAATATCGGTCCAAAGAGCGGCAGAATACAATACATGTAGTGCAGCAGCTTATTCAGATGTGATAGAATGATATGCAGTATTAAGTCTGTATATACGAAATAACATACAGCTTGGGGAGGGTGCTCTCTGCGCTCTGCTTATAGTTTTTGGAACAAAAACCGCAAGCGAAAAGATCCAGGTCGTTGACTAATGGCTTTTAGTCCAAACAACTACTCAAATAAAATCTTCTAAAAATTTTGATGGCCACGTAACTGTAGTACACGCACAAACATTTACGCATTTTCCCAGATTCAAGATTATCAATGCCTATATCACTTGCAATATGTGATAGCTTCGTGGAAAAAAGCTGGACCAAAAGCAAGAAGATTACCTGCAGCTCCTCTGAGCACTTTTCTGTTGGTGGTGAGGGAAGAAACTTATCCAATGGATCAATATCATCAGAAATCTTAGTAGAATCTTCAATTTCTATGGGTTGTGCTTCTGTGACATTTCTCACATCAGGTTGTGATGGCTCTATATGTCCAGATGATATAGGAATATCTTGATTATTTGGTGACAAAACCTGCACAGTTTCTTGAGTAGGCTTTTCTTGGTAATCACCTGCTGCAACAATAAAAGAAATTAACTGACAAGAAGCAACAGATAGTGCCTCATATGCATGTCGCTGTAACAAAACAAAATTATTTTCATCAGACATGAGTACATCAAGAAGAAAACTTAACAGATTATTAATTTCGTTTAAGCACACAATAAATATGCAAAACAAAACAGAACAAATCAAAAGGGTCCCAAATCTCAGGGCTCACTAAAGCTGATAACAAAAGATTAGGTCACGCAACACATGTTAAAGCCATCACCCGAAAAACCTTATGAAGGTAACAGACTATCAACATCATCATATAAGATTGTGAAAGAAACAAGGGTATCCAATTCAAAATCCCAATAATATGCAACAACTAGGTTTTGCCACGGATGCGAGGATCAAAGCTGAACCTGCTCAAGGAAAAAGAGGTCTAACTCAGGTGCACTACACAGATAGGCGCAAAGAAAAACTCACTCAAGTCAAGTGAAAAAAAACCGCAAATGAATGGCACTGCTCCACAAAAAACATACATACCATTTTCCGTTTGGAATCTTTCATCAAGCATAAAGTCGCTGCTGCTGTCTATTTCCCCTTCCTGAGATTGAGCAACAGCCAATGTAAACGATCATCATGCTTTCATCCATGATGCAAAATACCGAAATGCCAGCAAACGATTATGCACGCTAAAGAAGCAGCAACCAAAGAATCTTCAATATACAGAAATCATCAACCTAATGGCAACATATTAGGAACGCGAAGGTACCTCAGCTTCCGGAGACATGGCGACTTCATCATGTGCGTAATCCACGATGCTCAGCATCTCTCTCCGCCTCCTCCTCTCCTCATCCTCGCCTCCACGGAAACCGCCGCCGCCTCCTGCTGCGGAGGCCGCTGCTCCCGCTGGCCCGGCGTCGAGCTCTCCGTCGTCGTCGGCTGAGGAGTACTCTCGTGACCGGAATCGCTAGCGGCGGCCGCCGCCGCCGCCGCCCTCTCGCTACCAACCCTAGCACCACCATCCTCCCCATCGCTCGCCTCCCCGGGATCATCGTCGTCCTCCGCCGCGCGCTCCGACCGGTCCTCCTCCTCCTCCTCCGCCGCCGCCGCCGCCGCCGCCGCCTCGCCTCGCTCGGACCGCTGCCGCTCCCGCCCCTCGGCGGCCGGGAGGGCGTCGTCGTCGTCCTCGTCCTCGTCTTCGGCGTCCTCCATGTCGTCGTCCTCGTCGTCGTTGTACACGGACAGGAGCTTGATTCCCTCGGACACCTTCTTCTCCGCGGCCATGGCTTCCGAGAATTTAATCGAATCGATTTGAAGAGAGGGAGGGAGGGAGGGAGAGAAAAGCTTCGGAATTAGTCCCTTCAAGATCGTAGCGACGATCGGGGAAGGAGAGAGAGCTTCGTCCCCTTTTATATTCTTTTTCCTCATCTTTTCCTTTTTGGGCAAATTTCACTGAAAATAAGCTTCGTCCCCTTTTTTGTTCTTTTTCCTCATCTTTTCCTTTTTGGGCAAATTTCGCTGAAAATCCCAAATCATGTTCACTCCCGCACGTTTATACTCTAAAGTTTATTTCTTTAATGTTGCACCAAAAATATCAACACATAAGACCGTTACAAATTTGCCTACAAGGACGCTAGAAAATGAACGGTATTAATTGAAAACTGAAAGATTTATTTAACGGAACATTGACGGAGGAGGAGGGTAGACGTGCCTTGCAGATACGAATCTAGGGGTTTTTTTTCATGTCACGAGAAAAAATCTTGAGATAAATATGTCGCGGTGGGCGTAGATTGGGGTTTTTGATATCACAGGAAATTTTTTTTGAATGAGTGTGCGATAGTGAGCATAATTTTCGATTTTTTGCGGCTTTTTCCCTTCCTTTTTTTTGCGAGACAGTTCGTTTACTTTTTAGGAAAATGACACAAACGGTCCCTGAATTTTGGCACAATACACAATGTGGTTCCTGAACTTTAGCCTAATGTGCAATATGGTCTATCAATTTTTTATTTGTTCAATATGATCCTTGGACTTTTAGCACATATTCAATTTAATTCCTAAAATGTATAAACATTATCCCTGAATTTGAATTAATGAAATGACAATATTGAACAACTTCATATATTTCAGAGGCCAAATTAAATATTTATAAAAAATCTAACGACCACGTTAAACAAATTTAAAAGTTCAGTGATTATATAGCACATTGAACTAAAGTTAATTGATAACATGAACAATTTTAAATTCAAGGATCATTTGTGTAATTATCCATTATTTTTTCTCAATAAACATAAGAATACCAAGCTAATCCTTCTTAATTTTTCTCATTTTTTTTAAAAAATTTCTCTTTATATAAGTTAATCTTTTTTTAAAATAAACCACACATAAATCACCCTATTTTGTTATAATATATTATACTGGATCAGTGCAGAAACAGAATTTAAAGTTTTTGGCGATTGGTCAATCGAGGACTTAAGATTTTATTTTGATCAATTAAAGACCTAGAGTTTTATAAAAAGTCATAATCACATCTTGAGCTCACCATTAATGGAATTCACATGCCCGAAATGACATTTAACAATTGACCAAATATTTTCATGTGGGACTTTCGTTTTGACGCGTGAATTACATCGGCGTCAAGCTCAAGACGTGATTGAGGGCTTTTTTTTTTAAAACTTTAAGTCCTCAATTGATCAAAATAGAACATTAAGTCCTTAATTGATCAATGGCCAAAACGTAAGTCCAGTTTCTACATTTATATGCTCGTCTAATACAATGTGGAAATATATATGAATATTTAAAAATAAAAGTACTTTGATTCAACTTTCAAGTGTCCCAAAAAAGTGAAATTTATCTTCTACAATACCAAAAAAAAAAAAACTGAAATTTTTGGTTTAACATATTGATTTATCCTCTCCGAGAACGTATAAATCGAGAGGACACGTGTTATTATTTTTATCACCTTTACTAATATAAAATCTCAATAAGCACGTTCAGTCTCAAATGAAAATAATAATATTGAAATAAGTTTTCAAACTACAAAGTTTTGTACCAAAGAATTTAATCTTTTTTTTTTACGGCTATAGGCATCCAATTCTAGTTTATCACAATTTGGAAATTATTATACATGCACCGGATGCATGTGAAAGTCAACGCATTTCAATCTTTGAATTATGAGGATCACAGGTAGAACTCATCAAAATCAAATATATTACGGTGCATTTGACTCACATGTACTTGGTCCGCTGAATAATTTTTCAATGTTAGCTATAAATATTCCAGTCATTTTTTTTTTGGAGTAATCTCATTTATTGATGTTTGAAAAGGAGTCATAATTGTTATTTGACATCATCAACTTTCCCCACCGCTTTTCCCTAGACATATAAACCTCCAATTTTTTTTTTGGTCGAAATATAAACCTCCAATTAGTAAGTTGTCTTTTTTCTCTCGTCAGGGTATGGTTATGTTGCGTTTTGTTTTCGTGGTTTTTTGCACTCATTCAACAAAATCCTTAAAGCTTATTTGTCTCTAAACATTCACCTCCTATTGACTTCGAAATTGGGAAAACCTTTTCAAATGAAAAAATCTTCAAAAGTTTATTGTTGGATAATAAGCTCATGGTTTCCATGTTTTCTTTATTATTATAAGAATTTTCAATACATGTTTTTCAAGAAATGATTTTTCAGTATACGTTGGCATGACCATGGTATAATTTTCCAGGGAAAAATATCAAAAAAGTCTTAAATTTATTGCATTGGTATCAATTCAGTTATAAACCCATTAATTGGATCGATTCAATCCTAAACATTTTCATATTGATATCAATTCAGTCCATCCGATCAATTTTTGCAGGAAATTACTGACGTGGACGCCGACTGTCCAACATGACACGACCGGCAATAACATGGACATTTTTTTATAATTGTTTTGAATTTTTAATAATTTTTCTTGTCTTTCTTTCCTTTCTTCTTCTTTTTTAGCAATGGCCGATCGTTAGCCACTTACCACAGGCCTTACGGCGAGGGCGAGTGTTGGCAATTTTGGATGCAAGGCAGATTTGGAACTATAGTAAATTTGGCTTTAAGGGTTTTTTATGAAATTAGGCCACTGAAATGAACCTCAGTTCATATGGTAGAAACCTGATTAGAAAATTCAAGCAATTTTCCCAAGAATTAAATAAACAAATCAAAATTACAAGAATTTGATTGGTGTACGAGAACAAGTAGTAAGAACTTTTTCGACAACAAGGTGTTCCAAGCAGATGCATCGTCGAAGCCGACAAGAATGCGTCGAAGGCGATAACTTGCAAGCCCCATATACCGGTCCTCGTCACAGTCGATGAGAACTCAGGTATCCTTCTCTAATGGAAACGATGGATTGCAAAGATTGAATGGAGAGCGTATGTCTGGAAGTAAATAAACAAAGGAGTCAAAAACAATCTTTAAGCTTCTTTTCTGGGTTTCTTCGGATGAGCGAAAATCTAGGTCCTGGGACATTACGAAATGAATCACTCACTAAATCGAAGACAATGGCATCAAACTTAAAAGAAAAAGGAGAGCAGTAGATCAAAATGGAGGTTCAGAAAGGATCTTTGAATAAACATATCCTAGCACAATCCTAATCAGCTTCAGCTGCTGTTTAAAGCAACTCAAAAACTCGAGGTAACCCACTCGGTTCGAAAGCGCTTGGAAAAAAAAAGACGATCCGAGGTATACAAAAAAGCAAGCGGGTATGGGATGTGCCCTCGTTGTGGTCCCTAGTCGGGGAGTATTTGCTCGCCGTCGGCATCGGCTTCGGTTTCCACCTGGGGCTTCTGTGCAGGACCAGATCCGGGCGCCTGCTTCTTCTTGATACCGCTCACGATGTCGTCGATCCTAAGAAGCATGCAAGCAGCTTCTATGGCCGTCTTGAATGTCTGTGCTTTCACGTTGTAGGCATCCCAGATCTGATGTTTAAGTGGAAAGGACCAGAAAACAGAATCAAACATGTTTCAAATTCACCAATAAGCAGGGACGAAAAAACATCTCTTTGCTACCAAAGATATCGATTCGCAAATTATTAACACGGACAAACTACTGGTCATGAACTAAAAGCATAGGCGACGAAACTGCCTATTCTTCACTGAAAGCAAATATGTGAGCGGTAAACTCATTAGCATCCAGCAAAATACTGCGAATTAACCACCAGGTGCAAGCCAGATGTAATGCCTAACCAAGACTTAAATGCAGGAGGCTAGCTACAGAGTCTAGTTGTGCGCATCAACGTCTTGAAAATGACACTTGCAGATTGCAATTACATTAGCAGAGACCTCACTTCGAAATCTAAAAGTACACCAAACTTTAATTTATAGTAATTATCTCATTAACGCAGTTTCTGATCAAGGGAACTAATATGGTTTAAGATTGGTCCAGACAGATGAAAATGAAAGAATGAGAAGAGAACAGCAAAATAAAGACTCTTTAAGTGATGTATACCTTCCGTTCTTTCATGTCAGTGATAGCACCAGTGTTTCCGTCTATGCCAACCCATGCATTTTCTCCATTTGCATGCTAAGTTATTTGAGATCGAGATTTAGAAGAGCGTTAACAATGGTTCAAAAGACAAAACCTTTCGAGATGAAATAGACCAGAATCGGACAGATGATTACCTTTCCCTGCAAGGCAGTCATGGTTCTTATCACATTCACTCCACAATTCTGGGCTAATGTCCGAGGAATAGCCTCAAAAGCGATAGCCGCAGCTTCATAAGGCCACTGTCACAATCATCAAGCGTTGCATCAATTAGAACATCACACGAAATACAAAATGGGAACTATCATCTCATCTTATAGTGTGATTCCTCTCAATGTCTCAGCAATATTGAAATCCGAATGGTCTTATCACAGGCAATGACACAATACAAAAGAATGTTGACCTTTTCTATGCCTTCAATCAAGGAACTCTTCTGCTTCAACATGGCAGAAACAGTCAACTCAGTAGCTCCGCCACCAGGAAGAAGTTTTGGATTCTTGATGATGTTTCTTGCTACAGACATGGCATCCTGCACAAGAACTAGCTTCAGAACCTAACAAGATCCAGGTAAAATAGTTCATTCATGAGTTTCGCAGAATACCTGCAAATTTCTTTCAACTTCATTTAAAAGATCCTTACTGGCACCTCTTAAGAGTACTGTACAAGCTTTCGGATCTTTGCAATCAACAATAAAAGCAAAGAACTCGTCCCCGATCTTCTTAACCTCAAACAAACCTGCCCCAGTACCAACATCTGACTCCTGCAGTTCATCTGGTCTATTAACAATTGTGGCCCCACAAGCCTTTGCAATTCTGTTATTATCAGTCTTCCTCAACCTCCTAATGGCACTGACACCAGCCTTACTAAAATAATGGCATGCCAAATCACCAAGTCCCTTCTCTGTTATCACCAAGTCTGGTTTGAATTTCAGTATCTGCACACATAAATTCTCAATGTACTCTTCCTCCATTCTTAAAAGAATGCTCCAATCTTCTTCTTTGACCAACTCGGCATTTGTCTGATTCTCGCCTTTCTTGTACTCAAGAGGGCAATCAAGAAGAATAACACGTGGGTTGACAATCTTCCTCCTCATTTTTCCAGGAGCAACAACATCCTTATTAAACATAACTCCTTTAAGAACCCTCGAATCCTCCAACTGTCCACCAGGGACTTTTTCAACCTTTATGTACTTTTTTATATCCACTTCTCTCAGCCCTTGACCAAGATCCACACCAACAGTTGTGGTAGCATCAATAGCTAAATCCTGAAAAAGAACAAATTAAATGGAACTTAAAACCAAAGCTTATCTTGGTAGATGCACATGTGACTCTTGGCACCAACTTTAAGATTTCAAGTAACAGCATGAGCTCTAGAAGAGCCAACAATATACACTTAATGAAAAACACACACCGATATAGCCACAGAAGTATTTATCAAGCTATATAGTACTAGTCTAGATGGGTATGGTATAAAAGTTGTCATCATGACCCTACAGTAGCTATAAAGCTTGGTTGAGGTAAATCTCCTAGTTTTACTTTTTTAGTATTCTGTACAATTTTTCCACGTGGATAACTCCTTAAGCTATATATGCTTATTGTTGCAATGTCGATGGCAGATGACATACTATGGACTTCACTGAGTTTCCTCGAAGACTTAGTCACCAGTCAAAGATCAATGCACATGCCTCATCCTTCGCACATTCAAGGTCCAGCCTGATGCTAAATAAATTCACCAACATATGCAGTATTCATAAGAAGTGTGCATCAGAGTACTTACAGCAAGCAGATCCCCAAACTGACTGGTGAACTTTGTACCAATGCTACTTTTAACAAGGCCAAGCATGCTAGCACCTGTGAATTAATTCCAATATTAATTTCACATAAACTATTCATCATCACGAGATGAACAGAAACAGTATTATCTCCTCTTCAATATTCTTCCGCGAAACAATTACATGTGAAAACTCCGACCCCAGCCATGATAATGGATGGGTACCACAGTCCGGATAATCGGCAGATATGTTCGAAAATCAACTGATCATGAGGCCAAAAGACAGTAAGAAGTTCTACCAAGTCAAAAAGAATGGATTCGTGATGCTGTGCATCTCAAGTATGTAATGACAAACTACCAAACCCATATAGATTAAGAGCAGAAGTATAAATAGTGGTGCATAACATCTGCAGATATGCTTAATCCGCTTTGGCTAGGACTGGTAGACCTAGAGTTCAAAGTTAAATATCAGTAGTAATTAGCTCCAAAAATTTGTGTCTTTGCATTTTCCTCTAGTAATATTAAGTTACACTAATTGATAACCCTCCAAATTTTGACTTCTCTCCCTCTTCACAAGGCGCCAATGCTAACATGCAAGTAACTAACAACCAATTGAAAGTTCAGACTAACAAACAACAAACTCATCATGTTCAGAAGCTTCAAACTAGGGAACACCTGACCAGTCTTCATTTAAAAAGAGAATTATAATGCTTTAAAGTCAACATGCAAGTGGTAACAGCTCAATAAACTAATTGAAAATTTCTTCAATTGATGACAATTTCCATTAAGGTCAAGCTAGTGATAGGCAAAATTATATGAGCAGCTGAAAGGGTGAAAATTTCTATATGCAAGGAACTTACGATCATTAACGTCAACTGACATTGCAATTTTATCCAGCACGGCAATAGCATCCTCCAAAGCTTTGTTATAGGCTGTCATACAAGCAAAAGGTTCTTTTAATTAAATCTACACATTATACAACAGATGCTATTCAGACATACAATAAGTATCTGCAACGATCTTCTTACCACGGCAAATGACAGTAGGATGATAATTCTTGTCAATGAAGGCTTCTGCAACATGGAGCATTTCACCAGCTTCCAAAACAATTAAGTTTATAATGTAAGACACTTGATCAATCAAGAGGATATGGAAGCTGTTAATATAAAACGCTTTAAATACATATTCTCCACTTGTGATCCATAATTACTCAACGCTTTAAGGCCATGAACACCGATGATAATAGTAACAACATTCCGCAACCAAATGAAATACCATCTGATATGGTGACAGGAAGAAGGCAAGTGTGCAGAGTCAACCGTATGCAGAATAATGCACTTCTATTTCAATCGACTTAAATTCAAATTCATAGCCTAGAATATACAATTGTGAATTTGTCAACATCGTACAAAGTCTTTCAACTCTCTGGCAAAATTGTACAGCAGGATCTGAAAATCCACATACAGCAATTCCATAGCATCTAACTTCTAAATACCTTACAACAACTACAAGGAGGCCAATACACTTTGAGTCACCATATTTAGGATCAAAATGCATTGGAAGCTCTTATTTGGGATCAATTTAATACAAAGACTTGGAGTCTTGAATGATAGGTACATCCTCTGGAAACTTTTTAACTTCGACAGTTACTATTCCAATACCATTTGTTCATACAAAGCTTGTTTTCTTGCTTAGAATTCAATTCTGTATGTTAGTCTATTCGGTAAACCCGATCACATCTCCAATGGACGGATTGTTTAAGACTCAACAAAAAAATTTCCATCATATCCCAGAACCTTTTCATAGATGAAATTGGAAAAGTTTCCAAATTTTTAAAAAAAAATATTGGTCTCTTTAAATCAATACTTCACAAATAGATCGTGATGAATCATTCCACATTGTTATCACTAAACTCCAACTTCCACCCCAAGGTCCCACCCAAAAGGATAATGCCTAACTTGATGCCTTCGGTAACATTAGCCTAGGCGCACCTAGTGAAAAAAAATTCTCGTCGAACAGAAAACTGAGTAATCGAAACATTGATGATAGTTTCTATCACTGAAGCTGATATTTAGTAAATTTGTGTCATGAAATGCAAGGAACTGCCTAATACACAACTAGCTGTGACTATCCATAAGAAGTATATCAGAGCCATACCAAGCACAATGACAGAAGTTGTTCCATCTCCAACTTCTTCATCTTGGGTGCGGCTAAGCTCAATCATCGACTGTCATAAACATGTGGCAATTGTTAGACGAAGCAACAAAAGGAAATATACAGATACAAGTGTGTGAGCGTGTACATAATGCCTATTATTTTTAAAAAAGTAAATGTGCACTCAAACTGATCTGGTAATTTACAAAAGTACACTGCTGAAACACCTTGAAATTTGATTCTAAGCAATACAATATATGAGCTCTAGGAAGAAAAGTGAGCCCTCAAGAGTCGTGTCAAACTTGCCTTTGCAGCAGGGTGTGCAATATCTAGTTCACGAAGGATAGCATTTCCGTCATTTGTCACAACAATTCCTGCATGTAATAAGGAAAATGATTTTAGTCCATGAGACTTCAGACTGATGAAAATCAAAAGTTATACACTTTATTAAAGTCAAGTCTAGCAACCATACTAGCTTCGTATGATGAATGGTTGCTACTCTTCCAATTTACTCCATAATTAAACTCGCAAAATAATGTGACATCTCTTTTAGATAATAGTTATGATTCCTTTATTCCAGCCTTGTCAACTCTATCTAGATGAATATTTTCAAAAAAATTCTTAGTGTTCTCTGTTCAAGTACACAATCTCATTACTTATTGTCACCAAGTGAGAAATGAATATTTGCTCAGATCTAAGATGATTACTATAACCAAGGGAAAAGAAATTCACTCCATTAACTGTCACTTACGAAAATGCAGCAAATACGCCATGCAACCGAATAGACATTAGGACAAATGATGCTTAATTGCAAACAGAAATAAAGCCGTGAAGAGAATGATGTGATAATTCCCACTCTTGTGCCTCATATAATTTGCAAAATGTAATGGAATCAAATAGTCATCTACATATACATAATGCCCATAGGCAACGATAAAGCAAACAAAAATCAGGTCTACGTGAGAAAATTCTCCACATTATCTTTTGTAAATTTTGAGTACCATGGAAAAGGGGATGCATTGTTTGCCCGAGCTCACAAATTTGAAATCAAACAAATCAATCAATGGGAATGGGAAAGCACCTACACAATCCCATGACTGAGAATAACTTCCTTAGATATATATGATGATATGATCTGAAACGTGGAATAAATTTCATTGACTAATCGTTGTATTAATCATTAGACAAGTTGGGATAATAGAACTTCACCTCCACTAGCATCAAGTAGCATCTTCAACATGGACCTTGGGCCCAAGGTGGTGCGGATAATATCAGCAACAGCCTGTCACATGTATTAGCACAAGTTAAAAAGACTTCCAACAGCAAGAGAACACAGACAAAAACATCAGTTTACCAAAAAAGGCACTTTATATAAAGATCCAGATCCACCTAAATGTGAAACCAAAATAACCACACTAACGTTATTGAATTTCTCCTGCAATCTACCTTGTAATTCAGATGATGCACAATGATATATGAGACGTTCTTGTGGGTGATTCTAGAAAAATTTTAAAAAGCAAGAGCTTTAATTTTCTGCAGAGATTCTCTGTTTTGCTATTATTTTAGTGGCTTCTAGCTTCTTTACTAGGAAATTTCCTGTCACTGAAAATAGTGATGTGCAAACTACACCAGTTACTCAACATAAGCTTGGAATGGCCTAATCATTTGGTCAAGTGATATCACAAAATTCAATTATTTTTGGCAGCCACAAAAACCCAGACAGAATCCAGAAATTAAATGAAAAGCTGCTTACCTTGGATGCTTGGATATTAGCATGGTGTACCTTGCTTCCAGATTCACGTTTCAAGGAGTCCTCTGTTCCATGCAACATTAAGAATTTATTCGCAGGGGCAAAAAAATGGCAACTACGAATGTGCCCAAACCCAGTAGAGTAAGAACACGTTCAAAAATATCATATCTCATGTCTTTTTCTCCTTGTCTCCCACCCCCTCAACCCTCCCCCTCGCCAAAAACCAATAAAGGCGCAATGACAATACTCATTTCCTTGGAAAAAAAAAAAAAGTGGGTGGGAGAAGGCATTGCTACCATAAACATGCAGCTCACTGTAAAATACACTTCAAAAGGACAGGACCCAGCCCCTCAGAGCACAACATAATTATCTAAATAAAATTGCTACAATAAAAACTAACAGATCGGCCGGATCATACAGGAGGGAACTAAAAGAACAAAAGAGAGCCGGCGAAGAAATGATGGAGCTTACTCAGAACGAGCATCGGAGAGTGCAACATTTTGCTTTCGCTTCGAGGAACAACCCTAAAACCAGGACAGAAAAAAAAAAAAACGCAACTTGTTAACATTCCGAGACGAGAGATCCGAGTAAGCAGGGGATACCAAACGCAGCACGCGAAGCCCCCGGAAATCTCAGTTAAAACCTAAATTTCAGTTCCCGTTCGAAACATCTCATCGATCGCGCGAACGAATTCGTTTCCAGTTCACGGAATCAAAGCATTTCGAACCGGACGGTGACGCGGGATTCAAAAATCGCAGGCGCTAATTGCTCGAGCGGGCGGGAAGCCCGAAACATCGACAGCGACCGAGAGAGAGAGAGAGATACACAGATCGCAGTGAGAGAGAGAGGGGGAGAGACCTGGTCGGAACGGCGACGAGCGATCGCGGATCACAAGCCGCGCGACGAGGACTCGAGCCGGCCGAACCGCGGGGGGGATTCGGCTGCTGCGGCGGCGCGAGGACGGCAACCACTGGCGAGGTGGCCGACGGCGGAGAGTGGCGGGAGGGAGAGAGAGAGCAAGGAGTGAAGAGGTGGTGAAGGGGAAGTGAAGGGGGGAAACTGAAGGCAAAAATGAGATGGCGATTAGGGTTTAGTGTCTCTCTCTCTCTCTCTATCTCTAGGCGGTTCGAGAACTCTTGGGCGGGAATTTCCCACCAGACCCCTCTGCTCCTCTTTTCCACGTATTGTTTGCGCCAATTGGGTTTTTTTTTATTTTTTTATTTTTTATGAAGGCGATTGTTATTTTTTGACATGATTTGATTTCAGGCATTAAGGTAATGTTTATGAATGTTCAACACTATGAATGAAAGAGTGCTAAAGGATGACTGTAATTTACGGAGCGCTGAAAATTGACATTTACATAAGGATAAGCAACCTCCGGGCCTGACCGATTTTAGAAAGAACCGATCCGATCCTCAACTCCAAATATCTGGAATTAGTGATTAATCTGTTCGGTTTAGAAATGGTACACCCAACTTAAAAAAAAATATGAAAAAGAAAAGTGGAATGCAACTTGAGAGAATGACACCCATGACCTCCCACTTGAAGATTTTATATATAATCTCAACAGGTGATTGTTATTTTTTGACATGATTTGATTTCGGCTTATTAAGGTAATGTTTATGAATGTTCAACACTATGATAAAAGTGTGCTTAAGGATGATTGTAATTTACGGAGTGCTAAAGATTGACAACTCCAAACATCTGGAATCAGCCGTTAACTTGTTCAGTTTAGATATGGGCTTATACACCCAACTTTAAAAAGAAAAATAGTGAAATGCAACTTGAGAGGATGACAACCATGACCTCCAACTTGAAGTACACATAAGACTACTAACTAACAAGAATTTACCGGGATAAAATTTTTTATATATTATATCAACCATGTGACTTACATGCACCAAACCCAATTCTCAAGTCCAATTGGGAACTGGCCGGTTCGGTTTGAGGCCGGTTTCAAGAATAATAAATTCGATAACCGGTTTTAATTTTTTGAAACCTAGACATATAAGGTACATTCTAGGTTAACTGACCCATTATGTAACCGATCACTTCTATATTTAAGTGTCTTGAGAAAGCCTTGTTAGAATTTAAAATCATACGGTTGGGAAATAATAGTTATTGTGATTATCACATTAAAAGTTTTTAAAAATAAAATGCACATGATATCCAAATGACTTTGAAGTTTATTTCAGTTTGTCAACAATACGTATGCTAATCTGGCAAGAAGATTAAGCCCCATATGCACACAAAGATACCTTGGAGCCAATCAAGACAGGGCACAACAAAGGAAGGAAAACATAGAAAATTGATGTCGCGGGTTGTTGGCATCACCGGACGAATACGGCACGCCGTCGTGACCTCCATGATGATAATCGAGCTCTCCACACTGTAAGTTCCCCAATTTCTCGACTATTATCTTCAATCGACGCATTTCTCTATTTGTTGTATTGGTTTTTCTCACTTGAAAATTAAGGTTGATTGAGTGCTCGCTTATAGAAAATGTAATGCTTACGTCGCTCAAGTACAACAACTTATCCATGTTCTTTCTTTCTCGGAAAGTCGTATGAACATATTGCATAGTCGCTTTTGCTTGCAGTTTTTGTTCGTCCATCTGTCTTGATTCCGAATTCCTGATGCTTTTTTGTCCTTTCTTTCTGAGAAAAATGTTGTGGATCACTGTTAAAGCAAGTTGCATTTCAACAAAGAATTATTCTCAAATTTTATAAAATACGTATTAAAAACTTTCCACAAGTCCAATCGGGTGCTATATGACTTGCGAAAGGAATTTGTGGTAAAAAAAATCTCTCGTTCACAAAAATAGCGGAGAACGTTACCATAGTAATTTCATTTTTAAAAAAAATTAAAACCTGCAACTTTGTGATGCTCTACTTTGGAACAAGAAGTTCATGTTTGCACTCATCCTGTGAATTTAACTTTGGATCTATGATTGCCACGTGGGAAACAGGTGGCAGAGATTTACCCAATTGTATAGAGTTGACCAATAACTTTTGGATTTTTATTAAGTTTTACTATTAATACCATTGATATAAAAATAGTTTACATTTTCGCCTTTGGACAGTAGACGTATGAATGGTATCTCGTTTAACCACGTAAGAGTGAAATTCGTAAAAAGTCATATTTACAATGACCACTGACTTAATAATAGTCCATTTTAGTTTATTTACTTGTGATTCGCAAATTCTTAACCCCTTTTTAATTGAAAAAAGAGTAAAGAGATAGTATCTCCATATTCATCCTTAAAGCATATAGCTTATTTTAGAAAGATTTTACGACAGCAACAAAAACCATTTGTGTTATAATTTCGAAAATTTGACATGATACATCTTATTAATGTAAAAAGAAAATTCCACACAAACTGAAAACATAGCTTTTTATCGAATATATTTATATAGTCGGTTTGAAGTATAGAGTATTTGCAAAGTGAATAAATTTCATTTAATAAAGAGATTCGCTTCAATTTGCACATACAATAACCACGTTGTATACACTTATCGTAAATTTGCCACAAAACAGGCACTTAGCTTATAGGAAGAAAATTATCAAAAAAGTCGTAAACTTATTGTACGACGGCAAATTCAGTCCTAAACCTTTTCAATTGTGCCAATTTTTTTTTTTTCTAAATCTTTTGACGAGTTGTCAATTTAGTCATTTCGGCTAATTTTAGCCGAAAATTGCTAACGCGGACGCCATCCAGCCGACATGATATGACCAACGCTGACGTGGATATGTTTTTAATTTGTTGATTTTTTATATCCCCGCCGGCCATTAGCTGAGGCCTGGCGACCCCTATCAATTACAGGTGAGGGCCGCAACCTTCGCCCGTGACCCTTACCTAGATTTGGGCAAGGCCGTGACCTCGCCTGAGGCCGGCAAGGGCTTCAACCCCTCGCGCAGCTCTCGCTGGCCTTAGGCAAGAGGTTGCAGTCCTTGCTTGGATATGGATAAGGGGTCGCAACCCTCGCCAGGCCTTAGCTAGTGGGTGGCGCCGGCCCTCAACAATTAAAAAAAAAGCAATTTAAAAAAAGAAAAGAAATAAAAATACAATTAAATTATATTAAAAAAATCATCTACATCAATGTCGTCCGGTGTCCACGTAAGCGATTTCCGGCCAATTATTAGAAAATCGTCAAAATATTTATGACTAAATTAGTACAATTAAAAGGTTTACGACTAAATTGGCCATCGTATATTAGGTTTAGGACTTTTTGGACAATTTTTCCACTAATAGGTTGTTAGTTTATTCACTTTTCATTCTCCAACTTCCTCTTCTTACTATAGTAAATTTGACGAGAAAAGATAAAATATATTCAAAAAACAATTTATGTCGTGTATGTTATTTTGAATATTACTCGTAAAATGCAATTATATGGAAAAAAAAGTGATCGGGAATATAATTTTACAAGCGAACGTGATCGAAACTAGCATAATGCAGCCCTTGCCACTGGATTGGCCTTCCTGATGATCCCTTAAGGCTGCAAATGATAACCATTCTGTTTCTCAATTTATGTTCCAAAAACAAGTTTGGAATAGAAATTCGTTCGATAAAGAATTTCATTTTTCAATTTTTGGAACAAATTTTGATTTTAGAAATATGTTTGAAACAGAAATGAGAAGTAAAATTTTATACTTTTCTATTTCCGAAACAAAAATGAGAAATAAAAATTCTTCTCATCACTCGCCCTTGCTAATAACTGGTCGCCCACCTGCCGCTCATTGCCACTCACTTGCCGATTGCTGCCTCTTGCCGTTCACCGTCGCTGGCCACCGCCCGCCGCCACTCGCCTCCCGCCGCCGCCTTCCTTTTGCCACCGGTCGCCCTCCTCCCGCAGCCGCCCGCAGTACGCCGGCCACCGTTTCGTGCCATCGACCGTCGCCCGCCTCCCACCATTGCCCAACGTTGATCGCCTCCAACCGCTAGCCTCCGCATTGGCTGCGTCGCCATTCGCCGCTGCCTCTCCCGGCCGTTCGTCGCCCACCGTTCACTGCCACCGTCCGCCGCCGCCGCCATCCGCCCGCTGTCCGCCCGCCGGCCACTCGCTGGCCACTCGAGATGGAGTAATTTTGTGTCGTTATCAAACGCATATTTTTGCTCAAAAATTCATTCATGAAATAGAAATAGATTTTCTATTTCTGGCCAGAAATTGATTTCTGAAATAGAATAATTGTCATTCGCAGTCTAAATGGACCAGAAATTGATTTCTGAAACAGAATGATTGTCATTTGCAGCCTAAATGGGCCATTCTTGCCTAAACCCCTAACTTGGCCAACCAAAAAACTAGCCGAAAGCTGAAAAAACTCAGCCACAAAGTTACTGGTCGCAATCTGTCGAGCACACGCGACAAACTTCAAAATCTCGTTTCGGGCAAACCGTAAACTTGAATCGAGATCCGTAAAATGTTATAGCTTCTCAACACCCTAAACTTTCATTTATATATATGTATATATATACACAGCCCAACAACCTCCAATTGGACGCAGCAACACAAAATTGACAAAACTTTGAATTTCAACCCTAACTTTAACGATTTCTCCGATTAGATAAATAATAGGTTCAAAAACTTACCTAGCATTACAAAACGACATTGATTCGGTCTCAGATTGTGAATGTGTAAAAATTTTCCTTCTTTTCTTCTTTCTTTCTCCCTTTCATTTCTCGCAGGCGAGCTCTCTTCTCTCTATTCTATTTTCTTATTGTCTTCGCTGAAGGCTTCTTCATTTGTTGAAGAGAAAAAATGAGATGGTGGCTAGGCTTTGGCTCGACTAAAAAAAAAAATAGGCTAGCTAAAGCCTATTTATTACAACCTACCTTCCTTACAAAAATTTCTTCCTCAAAATTTAGACATACCTCAATCGTTAAACAAGTGAGGGTACTTGTGTCTTGCCTTCTCCTCAAGCTTCCAAGTGGCCTCCTTGTTGGTGTGGTTTTGCCATCGAAATTTCACGTAAGAAATAGTGCATCGTTGTAACACTTGATTCTTTCTATCGAT